CCCCCCCAATGAAAAACAAGGTTTTAGTCTCCCAAAAAACAGTAAAACAAGGTTTTAGTCTCCCAAAAAATAGTTATGTTCGTTTTAAGCCCCTGCCCACCTCCTTTTTTAAACTGGAGATTTCTATATCACTATATTTTGAGGGAGTCAGGGAGTGAAAGCATATTTTACCCTTAGATGAAAACATTGGTCCTTTGGTCGTTTGCTTATTGATCAAGAAATGGCAGGTAAACACCCTTGCAGCAGAGAAGCTGTACTCCCTTGCTGGAGAATGGGCCGGTCTGGGTCCCGAGACATTACTTTTTGACATATGCTGTGGAACTGGTACCATTGGCCTCACTTTATCTCATCGTGTTGGCATGGTAATGATCTCTACTTTTGATTCATGAGAATGATTTTCAATATCCTTCATGAATTGGAACTCTGCTATAATTTTGGGCTCACTTTCACTGTCACTCCGGTTTTCTAATCACTAATCAGTTTATGTTCAGCTTTAGTGTGGAATCATGATCACAATGTATCAACTCGTGAGTTCATGGACTTTTACAGAAGGGATTATAATATATTTTACTTCTGAATTTTCTAATATTCAGGTTGTGGGGATTGAAATGAATGCATCTGCAGTTCAGGATGCTCAAAGGAATGCAGATATAAATGGCATTAAAAACTGCAGATTTATTTGTGCAAAGGTGGTGCTATTTTTATCGTTCTTTTCTATGTGTCTCTTATCTCTCTTTCTAGCATTTTACCATTTTTTATGTCGCACAAAACTTCTGATGGGTTTGTTCCAATTCTAAGTTGCTTTTGTTTTTTCCCTTTTTGCCCATTGGCATCTCAGCTGTTCCCTAACTTAATTATGAATTGGTTTTTTCTTAGAAAATAACTTCAGGGTTTGTTTGAACTTTGGATCCTGAAGTTAAAGCCACTCTTTGATTTCACTGAGTTTAAGAGTGTTGATAAGTAAAAAGTTGGTGGTTAGAATTTGTTTAGAAGAGAGAAATATCGTGAGCCACATCTTCTTTCCCTAAAAGGAAATGTGAGAAGTGTGACTTAATTTTTGGGACGCTGTAAATATAAAATGTGACTTTAGTTTAGGGTCGGGGGTGTATATATAAAGACCAGCAAATATAAGTAAAAGTTAAACTTTTTCATTACGTAGTTCAATATTTCCAAGGTAAAACTAAACATAAGAAAATATCTTCCCTTAGCATTAATTCTTCGTTCCGCAGCACTTCCTGAGATTCATAACATACCCTCAGATTTTATGGTAGAAGTCCATGTAGGAGATTTCTCTACCTCAATCATGTAACACCCCACCATGCAGTTTTTACTTATTTACCCTTTTGTTTACACATTTTCTTTTACACGAACTGCATCATGTGATTTTGCATCTTGATTCCTCAATATGTACAATTCAATATCAGGCAGAGGATGTTTTGGGTTCTGTACTGAGAGAGTACTTGGGCACACTTCAAATACAGGAAGATCCGCCAGAGAGATCAAACAAGAATGACTCAGAAAAAGATGCAAGCGTGGCTGAGCTACTAGAAAATGGCATCAAGGATACTGAAAAACAGCTTCTAACTCAATCTGTAGATGAATTGACTGAGCCGGTAAACAAGAATGATCCGGGAAATTCCCTCAGCCAAACTATTGTCGTTCCAGAAGAGGACAAAAATGTCCCTGACCTTGAAAGTGATAAAAAAGTGGCTGAAGAAATGACTGGAGATAGCAACAAAGATAGTGAAGAGAAGTTGCCCAATAGTAGCGCTTTGGTAAATACCACCACAAAAGTTCAGACATTTAAAAACATTGTTGCAATTGTTGATCCTCCACGAATGGGACTTCATCCTACTGTAAGTGATTTTGTTACCAAATACTTCCTCCCTCCCAAAATAAAAGGCACAATTATTATTCCCGTGGTCAACTTATATCTTCTTTTTTTACATTTTCTAATCAATAATTTGACCAAATAATAGCCACATCTGCTCTTGTTTTATACTAACTCCGTCCCTAAGTATATGTCCAGTTTTGACTTTTTTCAGTCAACTATTTTCAACCTTTGACCTATAATTAAATAAAATATATATTGAATATATATTAGATTAAAAATATTTTATACAATAAATCTAATAAAACTATTGTTGAATCAATATTTAATATCATTTTTATTTAATTTGAGATCAAAGTTTACCAATTTTGACCGAAAAAGTCAAAAGTAGACAAATACTCAGGGACAGAGGGAGTCTAACTTTTCATATAGTTTTTAAATATGTACATTTTATATTTTATTTCTACACCATTTTAAAATAAATTGAATGGAAAATAAATCCAGTTTAATATCGTAAAGCGAACGTGTCTTTTCTTTTGGGATGGAGGTAATATTGGATTGTTCAGTCATTTTTGTGTTTAGCTTCCACTTCAACTGTAATGAATGGTTAAAATGATTTTGTTAATATCTCAATTCTTGACTTTCTGCATCACATTTCTGAAACTATGATGCCTAAACTAATTTTGCATATTATAATGTCATTTATTTTTAGCTTTTTTAAAACACTAAAATTCACTAGTTCAGTGTTTTAATTTGGGCTACATCTCTGTGTTTGGTGAAAGCAGGTTACCAAAGTTCTGAGAACCAATGAACGTCTAAGGAGGCTTGTGTAAGTTCCTCTAAGCACCCAATTATATTGTCAACCTTTTGTATATTGTTTGAAGTATGAGGATTTGTATGGGTTTGTTTGGATTCTTGAAAATTTTAGGGAGAAAGAAACAATATCAAGGAAATTCTTTTCATGTTTGGCTATATCTTGAAAGTTTAACGGGAAATGAAATTTCATTCTTTTAAAAAATTATTTAAACATATATTTAGATTTCGCTATCTTTATATATGTCCGCGAGATGAATAAATAAGTGAATATCATCAAATATCCATTTAAATTCATTGAGTTTCAACCAATCTTGCTCTGCGTTTTGCTACTGTGTTTACTTTGTCTGTGCTTCTGTATTTGAATGGGGGTCTCTTTTAAACAGCCTCTACTCCCAAATAGTTATAATTATAAGGTCTGTGTACACAGTCTCTCTCCCCTGGCCTCTTGCTGCATTCCGTTCGTCTGATTTGATATGATTTTTTGAAGATCTGGTCTGATCTTATTGTAGTTATATTTAAAGGTCTGATCCGATTTTAAAAAGAACAAGTAATAAGCTGAAAAAATAAGTTTAACGGATCGGACCCTCTATTTTTTGTGGGATTTATTGGGTTTAATTTGTTGTTTTCCAGTTACATTTCATGCAATCCTGAAAGCTTGATGGCAAATGCTATTGAGCTTTGCACGCCATCTGCGGATTCAGTTGAGAAAGGGAACAACAATAATAATAGAGGGTGGAAGAATATGAGCAATGCCAGTCTTGCTCGACAACGCACCAAGTCCATGCCTAAATCGGAGCCTTTCAAACCAGTCAAAGCCATAGCTGTCGACCTTTTCCCTCATACTCCCCACTGCGAGTTGGTCATGCTTCTTGAGAGGTAATCAAACCATCCTCTAATTCTGCTTCGGTACTTTTCTCCGTTTGGTACTTCATAAGTTTATGTGGTTGAGTATCTTGAAGCATAAAATCTTTTTTGATTTCGGGAATGATCATAGGTATAGGTTCAAGGTTTTTTTTTTTGCTTTTCTTATTTTATGAAAATGATCAATTTTTCAGCACTTTAATGTTCTACATTTTATTCTTGTTCTATAAATGCATAAAGTCTATAACAAATTTTGGCCGCGCTCTTAGTCTTCCTTTACCTATGAATTTCCGTTCACACATGAAAAATCTGTCTGGATCAATTGCTCCCTGTTCCATGTTTAATCTTATTGTTTTGGATTATGATGTTTGAATGAAGTTGTTTTCAAATCAGTTTATTTAAATATTGTTCTAAAATTCAATTAAAAAATTCATATATGTAAAAACTACAAAAATTCTACCAAACGAAAAATGATACGACTCTATAGAGATAATTTTGTGTTGACTTTCCAAAAATATCCTTGATGTGATGGGTAAAAGTGAGATGTGATGTGTAGATTATTAGGAAAAAAGTATGATGTGATAGGTAGGGTATGAAAAAGTAAGGGGTAAAAGTAGTTTTTTAATAGAAATGGGAAGAAGATTGTGGGACACCATTTTTTGAAACGTGAAGAACTTTTTGGGACGGAGGGAGTACATGGCAAGATTGCAAAGGGACTTAGCAGTTATTTTCACCTCATTTTTCATCATGATATTCTCTATGAAATAGCTGATTCCATCACAAATAGCATTCAAATATACTCCGTAATAAAATTCCCAACAAAATAGGTAGACAAAACCATCAAATTATATTGGTAGTCAAAAGTCCCAGAATACACACGCGCGTGCACATAAGATCATTACTTTTTTGCAAACTAGAGTTGTTCTTCCATGGTCCTAAGTAGATTTTTTTTTTTTGCAAAAGGCCCAATTGTTTTATGACATCAATGCACTATGATCTATAAAATGAGCAACGATCTTAGGACCACGTAAAAATTTGCCAACGTACTAATGCATTTAGTCATACACATGGATATAGCACTATACAAAAGCATACCCTAATATGCTTATCCTAAAAGTCCAGACGCTTAAGATCATATTCTCGGTTAAGAACGGAGCACCGTAGGTGTCAATATCATTTTAATGTCAAAAATCAAAATTATCAATGTCAAAAGAACTCTTGTGTATTTTTCAACATATTAAATGTTTTTACATTAAAAAAAGTATGCAAAAAAAGTTAAATATGTAAAATTTAGTAAAACTAATTGGGAATACAATCATATTTGATGATTTCTTCTACTTGTACCTCGCCAAAATTAAAAAGTTGTACATTTGAAAAAATGGAACTCTTTTTATGAGACAAAAATAGTATTTGTAAATTGATGACAATGACTCACTCCGTCCAAAAAAACAACATTCCATCTGATTTCTCAGTCTTCGATGCGCAACGCTTTGATAATTAATATTTCAAAACTACATTTCAAAAAAGATCTAATGATTTCAAGTTGACATCATAATTCACTGCATCTTTTCTGCATATTATTTGGCCAACAAAATCAAAGATGGAAGTTTTTGTGGGAGAGAGTGAGCTGTTCTTTTGTTCAAAGTGGATTCTTTCTTAGACAAAAGCATGTTCAGAAACATGTTTTTATGAGCTTGAGATTGTAGTTTTTAGTTCAAATGTATTAGGGTGCGTTTGGCTTGAATTCCCCTCTTGCCATCTAATACAAACACAACACAATACCTGATTCTGAACAAAAGACCTAAACCAAACGCACCCTTAGTGCTGAGCTGAAAAAGTGATGTCCCCATGGGAATGATGATGTGGCACCCCACCACCATTAAAACCCCACCAATGGAAAATGAGGAATAAAGCTAATAATGGAAGAGTGAAAGGTGTGCAGGCTTCAATTAGAGCATTATCTTTAGGGCCTGTTTGGATAATGGTTGCCCAACTTTGATATTTCTTGTGTTTTTGGATAAGTATGGATTTCTATAAGTAGGATTAGGACTGTGCTTAAGCAGTCATTAAGAGGTCTCCCAATGAAATAGTGCAGATACTTTCTTTAGTTATACAAAACCATCTTTAGCAATTTCCTCTTAGGCATGTTTGGCATCAACCAAATATGGAAGATGAGCTCATTATAGCTACCAAACAGGACCTTACTCTTCCCCTTTACTTTCATTACCTTTGTTCTTCAAAATTCAAATTTCTCTTCTACTCTGTTTGTCCCGAATTCGTTGCAACACTTTGATTCTTCGGAATTTAAGAATGAGTGGTTGAAATTTGTTTGGAAAAAAGAGATGAGTTGTGGACTATGTATTTTTTACTTTATTCGAAAAGTAAAGAAGCGAAGATTATTTTAGGAAAACTCATAAAAGAAAGTGTGAAGATTAATTTGGGTGGAGGGAGTATATGATTTGACTTGTAAACTTAATTAGCACAGCTTTCAAAGACTTTTCTAAGGGTACAATTGGAAACCCATATTCATATCTTGAAGTTTTTTTTTTAAGGTTGGTTAAACACTCACAGTCAATCTTCTCTCACTTTAGCAGCTCACAAGTTACATCTTGTCTGCTTTCACTTCTCTTTTCCATCAAATTCTTCTTTTTTGTTCTCTTATTTGCTTTAATCTTCTTTTCTCTATTGTAAATGACAAGCCAACCAAATAAGAGTTGATTTCATAGTTATCTTTATGAGAGATTCTTGTCTACATCAGCTCTGCTCCTTTGAATCAATTTTGACTGACTGAAAGTGGGAAAGATTTCACTCTAAGCTTAAATGTCAACTAACTCAAAACTCACTACTGCACTCCTCCAGTAGAGAATTCAAGCCAAATCCTTAGAGAATATTACTTTCATCCCAAATTACCAAAAAAATAATGAGGGTTTTGTATATTAGAAGTATTTTTCAATATATATATATATATATTGAGACACGATTTTTATATTTACTCCGTCTGTATTTTTGAATATTATTATTCAAAGTACGATACGGAGTATATATAACATCTAGATTATCACAAAGATCATTCATCATCAGTAGACCTGGCAAAAAATGACCCGACCTGTTTTTGACCCGAGACTCGACCCGAAAATACTGGGTTTTGAACAAAGGTTTTGCTGACCGAACCCGAAGTTGACCGAACCCGAAATGACCCGCTAAAAATGGGTCAAACCCGACCGAACCCGAACCCGACCTGACCGACCCACTAATCTAAGATTTTTTCAGAATCATACATTTTAATATTAAATATAGTGTTATAAAAATAAGATTATGATTATATTTCTTTGCTTACTACTCATTTTTTGTGTATAAATTTATAGCATCATAACAAATTTTAATGATGTCGCATACTTATCTTACATTTTTTCAAAATTTCTACATATTTAATTTTTTTATTCGTAATATTGACACTAAGTCATAAAAATTACTTAAAATTTCAAAAAAATAAATGAAACTCATAACCCGTTGGGTCAACCCGAACCCGATGACACTGGGTCCGAACCCGAACTTAACCGAACCCGAAGTAACCCAAACCCAAGGTGACCGAACCTGAACCCGACCTGACCGACCGATTTGCCAGGTCTAATCATCAGGAACACTATCAACATAATTAGCATCATTCTGTAGAGCTTCCATAAAAAAATTGTGAAGAACCCCTCTTTGAAGTTCCATTAATTCTCCAATTCTTGTCGTTTTTACGCTTTGCATACTTGGATTCAACAAAATCTTTGCATTAAATTGCAACGAGCGATAGAATCTGAGAGTGTTACAAAACGCCCAATAAAAATGTTAGAAATTGAGAAATCTTAGATATTATTTGTTTTGTTGTTGAATTCTAAAACCTCTTGATGAGTTGTACCACTTGTAAATTAAAGATGTGTTCATCAAGTTCATACAATTTGTTTTTTTTGCATGTCATAAACAAAATTCAACTGTTGCATAGACAATACTTGTCTATGTCATCAAAAAGTATTTTATATGGGTTATAGACAAATTTTGTTTGTAAAATAATGTCTTGACCTAGTGTATTTGTTCACTTTGATTTTTTTAGTCAAATCGGATATACTTTAGACTTCAATTAAACAAAGTGTGTAATGTATATTAGTATAAAAATGGTTCCATTAGAATTATCTTGAAAAGAACAATCAAAATTTAATTTTATTTTAATTATTATGCAAGACAAAACAAAAGTAATTGTTGATTAAAGTTTATATTATTTAATTTAAAAAAATCAAACTGAACGAATATTTCTGAGAGGAGTATAAAAATGGGAGTGGTGTGAATTTGATGTACACATGTAGGTAGAATTTGAGTTTAGAATCATTAGAGGACAGTATATGCTTTTTAACAGTGTAATGCATATGGCATAGGAAGGAAAGAAAGGAGAGGCTTCAATCAACCAAGTCCACAAAGAGTGTGAGTGGCATTTTCCATTAGAACATGTGGATGGATGTCCACTCCAATATATATCTTGTGGGTCATATTTTTGGATTACTCCTTCCGTTCCCAATTAAATTACCTTATTTCTTTCCACGAAGTTTAATAAAATCGTTGAAAAGAAAAAATAAAAATAGATCGCCCATCTCGGCCCGACATTGTAGTGGAACAATAAACCACAATAAAAGTTTTAATCTTTTTTTCTAGAACCCGTCATGCCCACAGTGCGTAAAAGGTGTCACCTCGTAGTTGCAGAGAACCTATGTTTAGGGAGCATAATTGTCTCACAGCTCCGTTGCCAGGAATCCAACTCGGGTCTATCCTTTAACACACTCTATATTTGCCAACTGCGCAACGTCCACCAACAAAAAAATACTCGTAATATATTAATAAGTTCTTTTTTAGAAGTAATAAAAGTACCTTGCATTCTCTTCTTGTGTATATATTCACTTTTGTCGCCACTCTCTCACAAAGAGATGTTCATGTTTATGAAAAAAATCATGGGGTCGAAAATAGGATTATGCTATGTGTACCCCAAGGTTTGTACCTCAATTTGTACCCCGCAGTTTTGCACTAATACTTTGTGTTGGTGTAAAACTAATTTTTGTTAAATGCACCAACATTTGTGTCTGTGTGAATTTTTATTAACGCACCAACACTTGTGTCGGTGTAAACCATCGAAATGTTTGTGCAAATCTGTGGTGTACAAATGAGGTATATTTTTTGGTGTAAGTGTAGCATGGTCCTCGAAAATAAGGACAAAAAAAAGATGAAGTGTTAATAGCACAGTTATTTTTTTGGAGGTGTAATCATTTATACTTTCATCATTATTACTGTTTGGTCGTGAACTCGGTCAACGCCATACTCATTAAGCCCCCCGTCACGACTTCAATGAATACCGTCCGGCCGTTACGCAAACGTTTTTTCTTTTACATGTAAACCACCACTTTTGCACTCCATTTGGATGATTTGAAATTGGGAAGAAAACATAATTTTTAGGTGAGAACAAATATTTTAGACATCTTCTCTTGTTTGGTTCACAAAGAAAATAGCGAGAAAATGAAATTTAATCACTAATCTCACGTAACAACTTTTCTCATTTTCTATCAATTCAAACACACACGCAAATATGTGTGTGTGTGTATATATATATTTATATCAATGATCAAAATATTACTATTTTCGTCCCTAAGTATTTGTCATGTTTTGACTTTTTAATTTACTCTCTCCGTCCCAAAATATTTGTCACATTTATTTTTTCAACAATCGCGAGAACTTTTGTTTATTTCTACGTTTGCATTGGTTATTTGATAAAATAAAATATTCTTGACACCTCTTATTTCGAAAAACTTTTCATGTAATTTTTTTATATGTAAATTTTATTTTTTATTTCTATACCAATATGTAAATAAAATGAATTGAAAAAACTTGATATTTGGTCTCGGGAATACAAGTGTGACAAATATTTAGGGAAGGAGGGAGTATTAATTTTTGCTGTACAAAAGTGTCCTCTTTGATTTTGTACTAGTACACTATTACATCACCCTTTTTCTTTTTCTTTTTTTTAAAGTTAAAATATCTTCAACCCACCGTCTCAGACAAAAGTTCTTAACTTGTTTTATGATGTATAATTGAAGATATTTTTATTATATATATTAAAAAGTTATACTCCCTCCGTCCCTCATAGATCTTCTCAATAGCCCTTTTTCTTTGTCCACAATAGATCTTCTCATTTCATTTTTTAACAATTAAAATACCACAATTACCCCCACTTACTTTATTTATTACACCTCATCCACCTCATTTAATGCATTCCACCCATTTTCATTAAGGGTATTATGGTAAACTTTCACCTTTTTCAACTCTCCTTAAAAATCACCAAAAGTTAAAATGAGAACATCTTAGGGGGACGGAGGGAGTATTAAAAATGTCACCAAATTATAGGTAACATTTTTCAAAATATTTAATAAAAAAGGATATGCTTCAAGTGTNGGGCATATAACAAAACCAATGAAACAGTTTTCATTTCGTAGGCTTGTGATTCAAATAAATGTAAAACACGCCTTTCATGCCTCTATCACCCTCTATGCTTTTAATTGCTTTCCACTTCATTTATATATACACACACACACACACACACACACACACACACACACCAAACATCACCAGCAACAAATATATTAAATCGCCTCGCTCTGCAGTGAAAAAAAACCTTTAATTTCAAAGTTAATTCAGTGGCATATCACCAACATGGAAAAGAAACAAATTTTCTTCACTAAAGATGAAGAAGATCATCAAGTCCACATAACAATGGCTCATCCTGAAGAAATTTCCATTCCAATTCCTCAGGTCTTTCTTTAATCTATTCTAAGTTTTTATCATATCGGTCTTGTAGCTGTTATAAATAGCTGGTTTATGTTTAATGAGATATTTGAGTTTCGATACCTCAGGCGGAGAGTTCATCCGCACCCACAAATCTACGGAGAGAAGAGAGCGTTGTAGCGGTTGACGTTAAGGCGCGTTCGGCGACGCCTGCGAAGAAAGTGAATTTCCATTTGAATCCCAATATTCCTTCCCAGCACAGGCCTGTTAATGGAGTATCTCCAGGCCGGCCTGTGCCGAGAGGGACCAAATCATCGTCGTCGTCATCATCATCCATCAAGAATTTCCTTCCCAAACTGAACTTCATGGAGAAGCCGAGCCCAGAAACCGAACCCGGTCATCAAGAAGAAAATCATAATAATAAAGTTTCCATTTCAAGGTCTTGGTCCCTGTCGAAGATGTTTTCGCCGGGGATCAAGAGGACGTCGTCTCTACCCATCACTCCGGTGGGGAAAACGAATCCGCTGGCGGCAGAGTGTGCTGCCGCCGCTTGCAAGACGAAGGGGTCCTCGAAAGGAGCGGTGCAGCAACAGCAGCCACCGCCGCAAGTGCATATACACCGCTCTCTTTCTCTCCCGGTTCCGGCTGCCGCTAACAAAGACGGTAGCGGCAGCCGGAAAATGGAATCTTTCTTTCGGGTTATCCCTTCGACCCCGCCCCCCCGTCTCAAGGACTCAGATTCTATTGTTTCAGCTGAGGCTCCCGCCGGAGAATCTGGTACTTATTCTAATGAAATTCCATCCATTCATTATATATGTCGAACTGCCAAACAAAAAATTTACCGTATAATAATACGTAGTATTAAGGAATTTTTGAAATTTAATTATGCCGATACTCCCTTCCTTAAACGGTGAACCATGGATTAAATATAGTTTAAACTAATTAAATATTATAAAAAAAATATTTTAAATAAATCTAATTTACTAATTTTACATTATAACTAAATATATTTTTCTCATATTTCCCGGCCAAAGGGTGCCACAGTTTTATCAAAAAAGTGAAACTGTGCGATCTTTTATGGACTGAGAGAATACTTTTTTTAAAAAATAATTTAGAAAGTATCCAAAATAAAAATACAGCCCGGTTCCATAACCGCTGGATTTCAGTGGCCACGGAAGCCATTGCCCCCCTACGAAGTTCCGTTCATAAAATTGATGATTCCTACCCCTTCTAATCCCCCCGGTAAACCTCCCCGCCAAGTCCCGACCCAAACTAATCACCCCACCTACGTCAATTGCACCTCGTAAGTATAATTGACTTTAAAGTCAAAAGTTTTGACATTATACTTACGAGGTGCAATTGACGTAGGAGGGGTAATTAGTTTGGGTTGGGACTTGGCGGGGGGTTTACCGGGGGGGTTAGAGGGGGTAGGAATCATCAATTTTATGAACGGAGCTCCGTAGGGGGGCAGTGGCTTCCGTGGCCACTGGAATCCAGTGGCCATGGAACCGGGCCGATAAAAATAAAACATAAGTCTTATTTTCAAAATAAGACTAATAAATTGTGATTCGATTGAAAGGTCTATGCTCATTTTATAGAATATATATATATATATATATATATATATATATATATATATATATATATATATATTAATATTTTGAATTAATATATTGACATTGTTTGCATTATAGATTATATTTTGAAGATAAGAATATGAAAATCATATTTCAATGTATTTTGTACTACCTGAACAAACTTTGAGCTTCGATTGCTCTCAATATATATTGACTATTAGTATAGTGAATTAAATTTTGAAAATTCACAATAAGATAAATCTAATAAAATCAATTTTATAATAATATATATTACAATTTTTGTTTAAAAGAAACTTAAAATTCATCTTGTTTGATTAAAAAAAATCAAACTAGAGTATGTTTAACTCCTAGTTTAAGTAGTGTTAATAGTCTGATTTGTTCCCTTTTCTGATGACGTGACAACAGAAAATTGAAAATGGTCTAAAGCAAATCATAAAACAGCAATAAAAGTGAAAGAAAATCTATCTAAAAATATACGAGTAGAAATTTTTTCCATATTTTTAACAAATATAGTCGTCCAAAAATTATCTTTTGATTGCGCGTTACAAAGTTTGATTGAAATTAATTTTAGATTATTTTATATGAAAAATGGTGTGGAATTAAAAAATAACAATAACATTTTTAATACTATACCATAAAATCTACAAAATTAGATTTGATATTGATATACTCCGTATTATTTAATTAAATGGATAGCGAAAATATGCTAACAAAGTAAATAAAGTTTGATACTATGAATATTGAATGAAAAGATAAGTTTTGAATGAAGGGAGAATTATGTTCAAAACAATTCTTAAAAACTGTGAAGTATTTCCTCCGTCCCATAAACTCTTTAGTGTTTTGATATCTTTAGTCTGTTTTTAAAAAACAAGGGGACGGTTCTCATGACATTGTCTGGTAATATCATGGGATGATCCGAGAGCGCTCTGATGCCTCGTTCGTAAAATTGACAGGTCTTACCCTCCGGTAAACACCCCCCACCCGTCCCGACCCGAACACACCCTTTACCCCTTCAATTACACCCCACAAGTTGATTTTTGACTTTGAAGTCAAAATCAACTAATGGAGTGCAATTGAAGGGGGTGGGGTCGTGGGGGTGTGTTCGGGTCAGGGCGGGGTGGGGGTTTACCTAGGGATAGGAGGCACTTTCGAGTCATCCCATGACAGGTGATTCCAATGTCATAGGAACCGCACCCGAAAAACAAATATCAGTCTTTTTTATATAAAAAAACAATTGTGGAGGGGTAATATTATATTGTTGCCATGGTACGCATGCATGCAGGAGGAGAAGGGGAAGAGGAGGACGGAGGAGAGGACATAGCGGAGGAGGAAGCGGTGTGCAGAATATGCCTCGGGGAGCTGTGCGAAGGCGGGGAGACGACGTTGAAGATGGAGTGCAGCTGCAAGGGGGAACTCGCCCTCGCCCACAAACACTGCGCCGTCACTTGGTTCTCCATCAAAGGCAACAAAACCTGCGACGTCTGCCGCCACCCCGTCCGCAACCTCCCCGTCACCCTCCTCCGCATCCGCAGCACCGCCTCCGCCCACCCCGCCCTCTCCCTCGCCACCACGCTCTCCCACCTCGAGATCAATGGGCACAGGTCATTCCAATTCCGTATACCAAACCGATCCTTTCTTCTTCTGTCTGTCTTCTCCCATTACTACTTGGGAGTCGTCCCCTCTTTCTGTATTTGAATTTGATAATGAATGGTGGTGCAGGGTGGTGTCCCAGGAAGTGCCAGTTCTGGTTATTGTTAGCATGCTTGCTTACTTTTGTTTTCTTGAACAACTCCTGGTATGTACAATAACAATACACTCCATTTTAGTAACTTTAATTTAATTTTGGACACCTCTAAATGCCCCCACTTTTAATATCTTCAATTTGCCCCTATGTGTCTTTTATGTGTGTGGGTGTGTGCAGGTTGGAAAGATGGGTACAAGTGCAATTGCTATATCACTGCCATTCTCTTGTGTACTTGGCCTCCTTGGCTCTATGACTTCTTCCACTATGGGTATATATATGTTTCTTTGTTTCTTTCACATACTTCTAGCTCCCTCCCTCCAATGCTGTATTAAAAGCACACTTTTTAAATTACATTTTTCAATCATTTTCTACTATCACATCAAGAACGAAATTAGAAAGTCATCGTTCATTTTGAAATTTTTGTGGCTTTATTAATTTTGGGACACTTAGAAGTGTCCTATCTATATCCTGCCCATTTACATTGTCTTGGTAAGGACCCAATCTATTACACACTTATCTCTATTTCTTCACTCTTTCTTGTCACCCTTTTAATGTATACTGATCTAATCAAGAATATACTACTTGAATTTTGATCCTATCACCATTTATTACTTTTATTTCAAAAAAAAATGTCATTATGGCTTAAGAATTATATATATGTGTATATGCAGTAATGAAAAGATTCGTATGGGTGTACGCATCAGTCCAGTTTGCATTTGTGGTGCTCTTTGCACACATTTTCTACACTCTGGTAATATACTTTTGTACCATTTATTCATCTTTATAGAACCACTTCCCCCTCTCACACACAAATAACAGAATTGGCCAGTTCTGTCAGACACGGGTGATGTGACCCGCTAGAATCTAAGAGATTATAACATAATCAACCGGTTTAGCGGTTCAAGTCACCCGCGTGTCGGGCAAAATAGGTTAGACACGTCACACTGAGAGCTCTAGTTTTTTTAATAAGAAAATGTTGATTAATTATTTACTGTCAGGGAACCAATTCAACCAAAAGCTCAAGCTTGTGGTTGTGGCCCAGGAACAGTTATTTATATTCTAACACGCCCCCTCACGTGCAGACGTATTCTTTTTCGAGCCTTGCACGTGAAACCTTAATTTTTTTTAACTGGGTGGCGCTGAGTTTCGAACCCGTGACCTCTTAGTCAACAAGGCTCCGATACCATGTCAAGGAACCAACTCAACCAAAAGCTCAAGCTTGTGGTTGTGGCCCGGGAACAGTTATTTATATTCTAACATTTACCCTAGAAAAAAGAATAAAATGCAAGAATATCGATGACAATTTTGGGTTTTTTTCTTCAAAATGAACGCACTTGCAGGTTCATGTGCAAGCAGTTCTGTCGATCTTGCTATCAATATTTGCTGGATTTGGGGTTGCAATGAGTGGAAGTTCTATTCTTGTCGAGTACTTCAGGTGGCGAAGAAGCCACCGCAGCCCCCCTCCGAGCCAATGGCCTTAATAACGCACGCATTGGCCGGAGGAAGATGAAAATATACACTACTACCTCCGAGCCAATGGCCAAAAGTAGACAAATACTCAGAGACTAATGGAGTATAGTAAATACTACGTATCAGTTTTGGTCGGTCTCACGACTGATGTGTTACTTTTCTTAAAAAATTACTCGTACGAGTTTAGTGCATGACATTTTTGTCCGTGTCGATTTAGGTCAATTTAAATGCATTTTGTCACCAAAAAAAGAAGTCAATTACAATTTTCATTGACTATGATAAAAAAAAGAAAGAAAGATCAAAGTAGGACTAAAACATTGAAAATATACCAAAATATGACTTCCATGTTTTTATTCTCGAAATAGGACTTACAGTACGAAAATGATCATGTACATTACCAAAAAAGTATAGTAATGTGCACATATACAGTGCCACATTACCACAGTGCAAAGTCCTATTTCGAAAAAAAACATGAAAGTCCTATTTTGGTAATTTTTTCTATATTTTAATCCTATTTGGAATAATTTCTAAAAAAAAAATTTTACAATGATGTTCAAATTTTAATGTTTCACTCAAAGTTGCAGTCATCAAAGCTGGGGGAGACACGGAACTCGTGGGATCAAAATTCAAAATTGGTTTCTACTCTTACAAATTAAATGCCAAAACATTTTGTTCATTTGTTCCACCTTGTAAATATTTGTGCATTAGTAGCTTGCAAATGTGGTGTGAATTGTTGTGAAAGAGTTAGGTTTAGAGGAAGACTATTTGTTTTTTTAACTCCTGCAGATTGCTTAAATAAACTGAAATTAAAAATAAACAGATTTTTAAAGCAATCAATATTTTTTAAACATTTAAATTTAATCAAGAATTCTACAACACTGAAAAAACAACAATAACATTTTTTAAAATAACAAAAATAACAGTTTCTCAAATAATTTATTCCGCACTTTGCATTAAGTGCTCAGCAATTTTTCAAATAATTTATTCCACATTTTCAAATAATTTATTCCGCACTTTGCACTAAGTGCTCGGGAATTGAACTACTACAACAATGTTTAACAACAATTAACAACAAATTGTTGACTATTGTATAAAAAAGATATTAAAAAAATGTAAAAAAACATTGTAAAAAAATGTACAAATTGTTGTCGGCAGGGATGAGAATGTAAAAAAATGCAGAAAAAAATATTGACTATTATACAAATGGTTAACAACAAAAAATGTAAAAAAAATTGTTGAAAAAAAGTGATTAAAAAAACATACTTGTTGCTACAGGGATGAGAATCGAAGGACAACATTATTCTGCCCACGAGACTCTGTGAACCGGACTTTATTTCAATTCTGAACTGGGGCGGTCACTCACTCAAATGGTAACTCGACCGTATACAACGAACCACTCTTCCTTTCGCAGGCCATGACAAGATTTCCTTTTACGGCCTTCCACTGCCAATTTCCGAACTTCACCTCATGTCCTTGTTCGTCCAACTGGTTAACAGAAATCAAACTTTTCTTCAAGGCAGGAACAACTCTCACATCCTTCAAAGTCCAGAAATCGACTAAGGTCTTCAACACCATGTCACCCATGCCCGTCACCTCAAGAGCTCTATTATTTGCAAGTCGTACATTTCCAAACGAGAATCTCGTTTCATGTATATTGGTAGGCCTCCCGAGCATATGGATAGGGCTGGTCCCCAGGGGCAGTATTCCCATGCCCGGTAAGAGACCCATCGCCGGCGGTCCCCATGGAGTAACCGGCGGACGCCGTCGAGCCGGGGAGTGGAATGGAGTTCCGACCTCGCTTAGGCCGGGCCTGCTAGGAAGAGGAAGACTCGGTCTCAGTAGTTGATGGATCGGAATCGGCAGTTGGGTGAACCGATGGATGGACAGTGGCTTGTCGGAAGCTAGAAGACCGAATTAACTCCTTTGCTTCCCTGAAGGACTAGTGGATGTCCGCTCCAGGGAGAGGAGTGCCCTGGCCAAGGGGCGTCCCAAAAATTCTCTCCACTGCCGATTCTGCAAAATTGTGGGCAGTGGGCGGATGGAGCTGGGAAGTGGCGTCGTCCCCTCCACCACGAGGGGAAAATTCCCAGGGAGACTCCGGGCTGCATTGGATCGCATATCCATCCACCTGGACATGAGGCAGCTCAAGAGATCCTTGCGAACCAGTGGCTCAACCAACCGGACGGGTCCCACTGGTTTGAGGATGGAAACCAAGTGAACCCGCGGGCTGGGCAGAAGAAGAAGCCCCCCTACCGAAGAAAGGAGTGTGAGGGACGCCAGAGATAAAGTTGGACCCCCTCAAGGTCCCTGGGGGGAAATCGTAGAGACCGCCATCATCGGAGACGTCCTCGACTACCACCTCCTCCTGGACGAAAGGGTGGTTGGCAAGAGGCAGAGGTTGATCCCGGACTGCGGACCCTACCTCTTCATCCTTAGTGTCCTCTTCTGGAGAAAGATCCCTTCGAGAGGATCGTCGCGATCCCTTTCGAAATCGCGTGGTCTTGGGGGAAGGAGCCCAAGAAGAAGTAGTGTTCCCCGATGCTGCTTGGAGAAGAACATCAGGAGACACCCAAAACCTAAGACCCCAGAAATACGAATCCTTATAGAGTAGAGCGCGGGAACCGGATGACTGTTCTTAAGGGGGAGGAGGAAAACCTCCTCGAGGTCCAGGGTGCGAGAAGAAAAGGTGTGGGAAGGAAACTTATCCTCCTCTTTCCATACGTTGGGAAAGGGGAGGTCCTCCGGGGCTATCACCACAAAGAAGCGGCAGAACCAATCATCAAACTTATCGACCGGGCTCTCCAGGAACTGCATGTTGGTCCGGGCCGTGAAATTCACGAACCCCCTGCCTGACTCAGTATCATACTTGTGGGGGCGAAAGAAGGAGAGGAAGAGCCCCAAAGTAGGCTGGATGCCCTTCTTGTGGCATCAAGCGAGGAAGCAGAAAAGGGACTCGTGAGAATTGGAGGAAATTTGGCCGGGAGGGATGGCATACCAATTACAAATCTCCACCAAGAGAGGATGGAAGGGGAAACACCACCCATCCTAAACGAGTCACAGTGGACGATCAATCGACGAGAAGTGCTTTGGTTGTGCTCCGAAGTGGCTCCATCGGCTTCACGGACTTGAAAATCCGGAGGAACCATTCCCCTCATTTCCTTCAGTTGAGTGGGGGTAATGGAGGAAACACATTCGTCTTCCTTGGCCTTTTTTTTCCATTGAAGAGCTTGGCAGCCTTGGAGAGAGTCTTCTTCATTTTTGAGGGACGGAGTGAGAGGAGAGAAGGAAGGCCGAAAGTAGAAAGGAAAGCAAAAGCTATGTCTGATTGTGAAAGCGTGAGAAATAAGAGAAGGGATGGACCGATTTTATAAAAAGGAAAAAAAGGAAGAAGACACGGTCCACTCCCAAATGTATCTTCCCAAGTTGCGGTCCACACTTGACACTTTTCCTCTGCCAACGGTCCCACCATTATTATGGTGGGATAAGAGCTTTGAATGGCACACGTTTCAAAACGGTCCAGTAGCAATCAAAGGACTTTAAGGAACATGGTCAAAATGATTGCAACTTTTGGAAATCGGGCCAGGGACATTTAAGTGAACACAAACTCCAAACGGTCCACTCTACCAATTTCCCAGGTCTGCGGTCCTTTGCTGGCTTTTCTTTTTTCTGCCGCGGTCCCCACCGTCATAAAGGGGATGAGAAATCCTAAGTGGAGCAATATAATGATCAGAACGGTCCAATGACAAAAGGGTGCATCCACATGCCTTCCACTCACACAATTATTCATCCACGGCCCGAAAAGGATGCATTAGGAGAAACATCATCTGGAGTAAGTACAAAATAAATTTTCACAAAGGGGTTTTCCCCTAAAACGAATCTTTCTCAGAAATAGAAGAAAAACTTTCCAATCTGAAGATGCGAGGTGTATTACAGTCAATTTTTTTTTTATTTTTTGACTTGTAAAAAAAAGGGGCATGTGATGGGAACCGAGCCCATCGAGAGAGTACCAGCAAATTGGGGCTAGGCCCAATCTAGATCCCGTCCATCAAAAGGAGAACCCAGCCTAGAGAAAATATACTGGGCCGGCCAAGGGAAGTTGTCCATGAGGAAAGATAGGGAAAGGAAGAGGATTGGGGCTTAAGGCTAGGCTGAACCCCAGCCCATCAAGAACAAGCCACCCAAAAGGAAGGAATCCTACAGAGGAATTAGGGTAAGCCGCTACTCAACAGGAGGGATAATGACAAGGAGTAAGGGACAGACGAAGGACAGGAATGAGAGATGGACGGACAGGTTTGTCCTCCAGTGGAAGACTTCAAGCTGAGATACATCCCTCCCGGAAAAATATAGGTATCCAGGCCTTATAACAGTGAAAGATAATACGAGAATAGTAATTGTTAATAACGGAAAGTACTGCTCACAGAATGGGAACTCAAATCGGCAGTCCTTTCCTCTATTCGGTCCACTTAGGATCGGAATATACTCAAGGATCGCCGAAATATCTTTTATTATTACTCAAGTATTCTCTCTCTCTATTACAAGATGATCCCTCCTCTCTAACTTCCTCTTTCTTATATAGACGCTCCCCAGCCACCATCTCCTCAAAATAATCGCAGTGGTTGGGGAGGATATTCATGCCATCCTTGCTTTTTTCCAGGAGGGATGTATCTCAGCTTGAAGCCATCCACTGGAGGACAAACCTGTCCGTCCATCTCTCATTCCTGTCCTTCGTCCGTCCCTTACTCCTTATCCCTCCTGTTGAGGGGCGACTTACCCTAATTCCTCTGTAGGATTCCTTCCTTTTGGGTGGCTTGTTCCTAATGGGCTGGGGTTCAGCCCATCCTTAAGCCCCAATCCTCTTCCTTTCCCTATCTTTCCTCACGGACAACTTCCCTTGACCGGCCCAGTATATTTTCTCTGGGCCGGACCGGATTCTCCTTTTGATGGACGGGATCTAGATTGGGCCTAGGCCTAATTTGCTGGTACTCTCTCGATGGGTTCGGTTCCCATCAGATATCCAGTTTCATCATGCATCTCGGGGATTTTTCTTTTATGTTATATCTTTTGGAAATTTCTTGACAGATTGATACATTATGCAGCAATTCTCTTCCACATGGTAACACTATGTGGAAAGGACTTCTTTCATTCTCATGCAAAGCAGCTTTGAGATCACATTGTATATAGTATTACAACATATAATGGGCTTGAAATGTGTAGGGCTTATAGGGTTTGGTACTTTAGGGATGATGGTTAAGCTAGTAGCATTAATCTGGTTAAGTGTGTTACCATCTCTAAAGAAATCTTCTACTGCTCTGATAATAAGACTCTTCATTATTTTCCATTGAGATTTAACGAAGCCACTATTATATCCATAAGTCCAGGACTCTTGTCCTTTAGGACAGAGAATAAGGCTTCCTTAATTTGCTATGGGCTAAAGATCCTTATCAAGTACAATTGATGTTTTATAGTAAGAACTTTATCTCTTTGCATTGTGTTGAAGTGAATGTCCTTAATATATTTCATAGTTCCAATACCCTGAAATGATATTTCTCTATTACTTTAGCAAGGTGCCCTCAACCACAATGCCACTTTCATTTTACACAGAGATTATATGATTTTGAATCTGCCTTTTCTTCGCCCATGCATAGAATAGCCTAGAGTTATCATAACCTTCGCTAATCCACTCTTTGTTTACTTTCTTGACATTTTAGGTCATGAGATGCTTTGAGTAACTAATGTAATTGTGTAACAAATTCTTTTTCTTTATCTACCAATTCTTCATGGTTTTTTGCATTAACATCATATTCTCTCAAGCATTATCCACCTACATTATCCATCAGACTTGTGAAGCCTTCTGAGAAAGTCCTTAAGCCTCTTTAAATTTTGAGTAAATTTCATAAATGGTTCCATTTAACTGGTGATTTTTCATATTCAGTCCCCAATTCTCAGATTTTACATTTTTGGTCCTCAATTTTTTAAAACTATTCCATAATCAGTCCTTTGGGGACTATGTGGAAAATAATATTTTGTCATATTTGGTCCAAAGGATTAATTATGGAATAGTTTTCAAAAGTTGAGAACCAGGAATATAATATCTTAGAATTGAGGATTACATATGGAAAATCACTTGTTATAAGGGATCACTTATGGAATTTACTCTTAAATTTTGGACCAACTAATACATCTATCCTTGTGAACCATCATTCCTCCAAACCTGCTGCAGAATTTGAGGAAATTGTAGATCAACAATCCACATGTTACAAAATTTAAAAAATTTGAGTGACCATTTAATTAAGTGATTTTTTAATACTTTATTTTTTCTAATATTTTCCAACTTTTTTTTATTTTTTCAACTTGTTTCAATTTCTTCCAATATCAAATTTTAAATTTCCAACGTGGTGGATTATTTCGGATTTAATATATTCAAAACCTACTATCTTAACTCTTAAGTTGGAACTCGAATATATACCACTCAATGTTGTTTCAAACTTGATTCTATGATCTTTTTTTTTCTAATTTTAAAAATACTTATTTCAACACTTGAAAATGTTTATTTAACATATATGAAGGTCCACTATGAACCTTAGGTGGTGAATTTTATAATTTGCCTTCAAATGTTCAACTAAAACACAACAAAAGCAGAACCCATGTTCTCGCCATAAGTTTAAAACGAAGAGCTTATTGCACGAAGACTCGTGTGGTTTGATAAATGTGCATTGTTATCCCCTATGTTTTTAAAACTTATATTGTTGCCCCTTGTAGTTCTGATATTGCTATGTTAATGACCTCGAGACTAAAATACCAATCAAATATTATCTGAATAGCTTCACTGTCCCCTATGGTTTTGAAAATGGCACAAATGCTCCCTCATTTCTTTATTGTTTTTCTTTTATCTATTATTTTTTCATAAATATTTTTTTTAAAATATTTTTAAAATAATGTTTCAATAATAAAAAAATTGTGTTTGCAATAAAAATCAATTAGATTACAAAAATTAACGTAAACTTCAAGTTTCTCAAATTAAATATTTTTATTTTTTGGCTAAAAGATATTTTTATTGGTTCATTTTCATGATACGAAAATCAATAAAAAAAAATCTCTTTTTCACTAAAGCTCAATTCTCTTTTTTTTTCATTAATTTTATACCGTCTCTTTATTTTAATCAAAATCAAAATAAAAGCAAGAAGAATAGAAAAGAAAACAAAGAAAAAAAATTATATGAAAAAAATACATTTATAAAATAGAGAAAACTAAGTAATGAAGAATTTTTTTTATGTATTTTCCAATTAATGTTATTAATATATAATTAAATATATAATAAAAAGACGTTACACAGTATTCTTTTGGTCCTGACATATCCAAAACGATAAAACCTTGTTTAGATAAAAATGAAAATATCTAATTTTACAAATGAATTATATGTTAATTTTTTTATTTCAAACAAAAACATTTTTTTATTTTTAAATCTATTATGTTTGAAAAAAACTTTTCATTATAACACACAATCATTTTTCTTTTCTTTTAAAAAAGAAGAAAAGAAAAAATGAAAACAATAAAGAAAAAAGAGAGGGGCGTTGACACGCATTTCCCAAACCATAAGGGGCAGCAGAATTATTTATCTAATATTTGAAGAATATTTATTTGTTTAGATGAGCATTGTCATAGCAATATCAGAAGTATGAGGGGCAACGACGTAAATTTTGAAATCACAAGAGGTAACGGTATAGAGAAGGTATATGGTATAACCGGATGTACCTATAGATAGGTACAACATACTCTACTTATTCTGAAGTAGAGTAGTACTCATTCTCGCACAAACATAATTAGCATAGTACTCATTCTAATATAATGCAGTACTCATTTTCACACATTAGTTCAATATAATTATAATATTCCTCTATAAATAATGTAGTGTTCATTCTGAAACAAAACAGTACTCATTCTCAAATATCTTAGTGTTCATTCTCATGTAAAATAAAATTCATACCATAAATAATTTCTTGGTTGTACCCTAAATTGGGTACAACCGGATGTATAATATAATTTACCAACGGTATACGAAGGGTTTTTTAAGATGCAATTTACTTAAATAGCACTAAAATATAATGACTTTACCTAAAAAGCACTACATGTGTTTTTTTCCAATGTATCGCTTTTAGTCATTATCCATTAGTCATTATTTAAGTAGATTTTTGCCATCAATGGACATTATGAATATTATTAAGTGCTATTTAGGGAATAAAACAATTTAAGTAGGGCGGAGGAGAGGGGGGCTTGCCGGGGCACGTGCCCCCGCGGCGAGCTTCCAGCGAAGAGGCAGTGACCATCGGTTGGGATTCACCAACGATGAATTTGCCCCCCGACACTTCGATGAAGGTGACGGGATGCAGATGGCAACCCAACTGTTCGAATGTTTCAAGCTTTATCTTTTTTTAAAATTCAACAACTGTAGTTAAAACCGACGCTCAATACGATGCCGTTTAGTTAATAGGTTAATGCTTAAATACAAACCCAAAGAGCACCCCTTGTTCTCCAGCTCTAAGCCGACTTGACCCAACAACCTTCTTCGCAAAATCGCAGTGACCAAGTATGATTTTAATTTTCTATCCTTATTAGGATCAAATTGAAATCCTCTTCTGTGCTACAGGATTTTTATTGAATGTTTTTAATTTCTGATTTGCTGGTTATTTTGTGAGATAGGTTATTATTTATGCTTTGGTCTTGATTACAATTTTTATTCTATTTCGTTAAGTTTTGTTCATTTGTTTTTTATTAACTATTTGATAAAATAAATTATTTTTCATATCTTTTTGAGAAAAAATTAGGGCAAAGGTTATATTTTGTCATTTTAGATAGTTAACGGAGTATTTGTTTCCCATTTTAGAACAACGACAGTTATGTTTATAAGATGTTATTTTTTTCTTACACCTTATTTTTTATTTAAGTTGTACTCCTGATTTGTAAAATTCTATCGCACAATTTTTTGCACATCCATAAGGTACTTTTACTCCACCTAAAATGTCTAAAATATCTTAAAACAACTTCTACCCGGTATAAACTACATGATGAGATGTATTTTAGACATCTTAAGAGTGTTTTATGAAATTTATAGAAAATTAGGGATCATAGAAAGAGTTTAAGGGTGTATTTTTTTGTGACATACGAGTAGTAAATTTGTGCCCTATAGCAAAATTGCTCCTGACTCCGCCACTGAATTTAAGTGATATTTAGAGAAATGACTTAAGTTTTAGTGCTATTTAGTGCAAATATTTCTTTTTTAAGTTTGAAAGCCCTTTTTACTTTTCCATTTAAAACCTCCGTCTCTTGCCACTCCGCGCGGGCCGCCGGCGATCTCGACGGTGAAGAAAAGAGAATGGCTAGCTACTCACATTCACACTAATGGTCTTCGCCTTGAGGTAATCTCCATTCCCTTTTGTTTAGTTTTTTTCGCCATTCTATTTTCCCCTCCCTATTCTTAATGCTTTTGCTCTTTATACTATACGGAAGGCTCTTTCTTCCTCCCCTCTTCTGTCTGTGAGGGGGAATCAAATAAAATAATATAGCAAACAGATTTTATAGATTTGGACAAAATTTCAAGAACTTGCTAGAAGTTAAACTGTGCAACTTCGAATTCAGTGTATCAATTTTAGTTATAAATTCTATTAGTTCAGTTACAATACATTTTATATATATATAAATTCTAAAATTTCTTTTTTTTTATGCAACTTGTTGGTAAAGTTCATGTCTTGAATGTTATACTTCCTTTGTATTAAAAGTAGGCATAGTTTTCATGTTAGGGTTACAGTTCTCATCTATCCTATATGAATGCCTTTTGGTTTAGTGTAGCTTTTGAAGGAAAGTATTACTGGTTCTCCGGGTCCTCTTGGAAATAGCCTCTCTATCTCTTGAATAGCGGTAAGATTTGCTTACTTACATCTAGGAATCAAGCCGTATATACCCTACTCTTGAGTGGGATATACGGGGTTAGTTTTGGTTATATATGCATTTTTTGTACCTTCAAAGTAAATATGGACAAACTTGTTTCGGAATGCTCATTCCAGGATCTTAGCAGGCGGGAGAGAGCAGAGGTTGCTGATGACCATTAGCCCTAAAAGCATAAGAGTTGCCCACCGGCTTCCTCTTTTTGCCCCTCTTCTCCTTCTTTCCCTAAGTTCTCTTCCCAACTCTCTTATCGTACTTGCAGCGTTACCGTGTCTTATTTGGTTTTCTCTTTGTTATTGAGTCAAATTTAGTCTGTTTGGCGGGCAGTTTTTCGGCTTATCGGCTTGGTTTTTCACCAAACTAATTTATTTGTGTTGGGTGTTAGCTGACACAGCTATTGATTTTTTTTTTAATTTAGCGTAGAAGTTACATTTTTGGCTGAACTGTATGAAATTAAAATTAAAAAAAGAAACCTATTTTAAATAAAGATTTTGGATATTTCATCAATTTCAGCACCCAGTTTAGGCATAGTGTCTTGGGGTGAATGTGTAAATGTTTGTATTCAAGAATCTTGTATCTATATATCGGTGTCCAGGAGTGATTGGGAGGTCTGGAAATTTGAGGTTAGGGCAGCACAAAAGGGGATTCGTTGGGGTTTGTTTGGATAAGAGGATGGATTTGGGGGTGGAGGCTGATAAGATGGGAATGGTGAGACCAGCAATGGAAGGTTATGTTGAAGCCGCGGTTGAAGCTATACAGTCCGGGCATGTTATTGCTGTCCCTACGGACACTCTCTATGGCTTTGCTTGTGACGCTTGGTAAAGCCCACCTGTTCTTTTCTTCATTCGAAATTTGGCTCTTTCATTTATTTATACTTCTTTTGTATCTTATGCTTTAATTCAACATTTAGATTTGTCATTTTGGTCTATGTTCAACGGTAAATGCAAGAAGTAAATCTTGACAATATGCTTCGTTTTTCTATTTGTAATGATTATCAATTAAGAATGAAGGCTGAGATTGAATTAGTTTATTTATTGTTTTTACTAAATCCTGTAACTTTTCTACTTCATCACATTTCTTTACACTTGCATGATTCATTTATTCCATTCCTGCATTGTGCTTGTTTGCGCTTTGCAGTTCTGCTAAGGCAGTTAGTCGTATCTATGAGATCAAAGGGCGTAAGTATACAAATCCACTTGCGATTTGTGTTGGAGATGTTGAAGACATACACAAATATGCTGTCACTGATCATTTACCCCGCGGCTTGCTTCACTCTCTCCTTCCTGGTCCTGTTACTCTGGTGCTAAGCCGAGGTTTGTGCACCCAAGAAAGTAATTTTCTTGGATTACATTTTCTGCAACAAGCTAATTTTTCCAGGTATTGAATAACAAAGAGAACCATTTTTTTTCAAAAAAAAATGTTTTTTTGCAGGTGAGTCGAGTATCCTTGAGAAATCTTTAAACCCTGGACTTGAGAGCATAGGGGTTAGAGTACCTGATAATACCTTTATTAGGGCACTATCCAGCTGTTCTGGAAGTGCACTTGCCCTAACAAGTGCAAACCTTAGCGGGCACCCCAGTAGCATTGTGATCACAGATTTTGAGAACCTCTGGGGTCACTGCGCTTACATCTTTGATGGTGGCGTGCTTCCATCCGGACGGGCAGGTTCAACAGTGGTCGATCTCACGAAGCAAGGAAAGTACAAGATATTAAGACCCGGAAGGTAAAAAAAATGCAAGCGTATTTTTGTCTTCATGAAAATATTGTTTCTGGGTTTAGCACCAGGAAAAGAAAATCCCAAAGGTTTTCAGTGTTTCTATGAACATTTGTGTGGGAAAATGACTTTCTCTTGCTTAAAAAAGACCATTTCCATGAAGGGGTTTTGGTCTTTTGTTCATAATGCATACATTAATATTATTCTTTCCAGGGAAAAAGTTATATTTGGGAAATATTTTCCTGAAATCAGAGTCTAAACTGATAAATATACTTAAAATCCACACTGGTCTTCATATGGACCTAGTTATCAACTGGTTTGTATCAAAGTAAACAAACATTTCAATGCTAAAGAGTGTAAAAAAACTGATGGGTTTCTACTGGTGTTTTGTCAGCTCCTTGGAAGAGACGGTCGGAATCCTCCAGAAGTACTCATTAGTAGCAGCAGATGAGAGCTGAGCGATGGACTATATGAGCTTGTTTGGTAATAGCGTTAGAGATTAGCATTATCGTTTTGAAAAGGCTATCTACGGGCAACGTTTAGCGTTAGCACTTTCAAAGTAATCTGCACTGTTAAAATTTTATCTAAAAGGCTAACGCTAATTTCTAACATTGTTCCCAAACATGCCCTATATGTGAAGCTCTGAAGTTTTTTATCTCTGATAATATAGTTGTGATAGTACCTTGTCATAATTAGTGCTTTCATTTATGTGTTTTCTTTTGTAAAATTTGTTAGTTTTAGAGGTTGATTGATAGTGTTTTTGGTAAGTAATTCTCAATTTGGGCTTGAAAATTAGAAAGTGGACAATTCTTGTGTTGTATGTACATGGGTATTTTACATTTATTGCTTTTTTTCTTGTTAGTATGTACTACCTTCCGTCTTGTCTAGTATTCGTTGTCTATTTTTTTTAAAAAAAAAACTCTATCATTTTTTTAAAAAAAGTTTAAAATGCAAAATAAGTTCTTCAAATAAGTTTGCCGTTTGTTGATCTCAATTATGTTCATATTCGATCTAGATATTTTGTTAATATGAGTTTCAATTTTTAGAACTCCTATTCTATTCTATGCATATGTGATCCATTTTGGTTCTATTCAAATAGGGAATGGGACTTACCATTTGACATCTTCTAAGGTTTCTAGAGCTCACAATCCAAGTCAAATTTCTAGGAACACCATGACAAAATGAGTATGCTATAGATATAGTCACTTCATAGAATGACAACATTCTGATAATTTATACCAACATGTTCATTATGGAGCAAGTTAACATGCTCCTTATATTTTTGCCCTAATGCACCTATAATAGTTTTGAGGTGAAAATACTTATCAAGTAATGTGAGAAAGCCTTGCATGTACAATAGTTTTTTTTATTTAAATTTTAATTTGAGTCCAATATTTGAATGTGATGTTTGGAGACAGATAACACGATAGGTAAGTCAAACTTGGTTATTGGAAACTACTCTGTATAAAACTAAAAGAACAAAAAATTATCGATTAGAGTCCAATAACTGAAATCAAAAGTTTGCTTAATTGATTTATTGGAATACAAAAGTAAAATACAATAAGTTTCGGTTGTTTTTAGGTTTTGTTTTTTTTTAAAATTTTTATATTCGAATTATTCAGAACTTAAGATACATATTTTAGACTCAGAAATTTTATTTTTCAGGTTCTAATTATCCGACTTCAGATTACAGTAGCTAAATTTTAGTTAGAATTAATTCATACTCTAGACTCCAATCGTCATATTTTAGTTGCCAAACTTCATAGTCTCCCTTACTTAATTTCGATCATTAATATTTCTTTATTTATATATAGATAAATAAAATTGATATTTCAAGATGTGAAATTTGCACTAAATAATACCAAATATATATCATTTCCCAATGTAGTATTTAAACTTTTTTATTTTCTAAATAGTAATTGAATAATGTCTAGTAGCGAAAACATGGTCCAGTAATGGTGGACATTTAGTTTGAACAATGTCCGGTGGCTATAGACATTTACTTGAACAATGACCAGTGGACAACAATCAGTGATACGACATTGGTAAATAAAAACATATGATACTACATTGAAAAAGTTACTATGTTTTAGTACTATTTAGGTAAAATCTTCTTTCAAGATTGAGTATAAAAAATTTGATATTTAGAAATAAAATTATTAATATTACACACAATTCATTTTATTTTTTTCATAAATTTATAATCAAATTTTGAAAATATTGAGCAAAAATATGAGAAAAACTATGTGGACTTCTCTTTCTTTCCCATTCGTTACTTGTTTACCACCATATATAAACAACCGGCTGTTAGACCTGTGTTGAAAGTTTGAAAACCCCTTTCTTCCTTCTCAAAACCTCCCTCTATAAAACCAGTCCGTTGCCACGCGCCGCCGCCTGAGAGAGGATGAAGATAGAAGAGGTTCAATCGACGACGAAGAAACAGAGAATAGCTACTCACACTCACATTAAAGGTCTCGGCCTTGAGGTAATATCCATTCCCTTTGTTTTCACCACTCGTTTTTTCCTCTCCTTTCAGTTAAAGTTTAAAAAAAAAAATCAAATGTGCCTTTGTAAGGAAACTTGTTTGTAAATTTCAGTTCTTCAATGGTATATGTACTTTGTCTTGAAATTAGGAAGTGTTTTCAGGCTAGGGTTTCAGTTCTCATCTATCCTACATGAGAATGGCTTTGATTTAATATAGCTTTTAAAGGGTTTGTTTAGATGACGATATGATATGGTGTTTTATATAGCCCAATGGGAATGCAATCCCTTTAGCAGCTGGGTTTGTGGGTCAGGCTTCAGCCAGAGAAGCTGCCGGCCTTGTGGTTGATATGATCCGCCAAAAGAAGATGGCCGGTCGGGCTCTGCTGCTTGCTGGGCCTCCTGGTACTGGCAAAACAGCACTTGCTTTGGGTGTTTCACAAGAACTGGGCAGCAAGGTACCTTTTTGTAGTGTTCCTCATCATTCTCTGCTTTCCCCCCTTAGAAATCCTTTGATTTTGTTATGTATGAATCTTTGTTCATGGAGTGATATAATTTCTCTTTGTATTCAGTTGGGATTTTTATGTATTCTGGCTCATAATGTACCTTTTCTCTTTTGATGCTCGGGGTCCATTTGGAATTACGAAAGTGATAGAGAAAATAAATAGGCAAGAAAATGTAAGGTGAATTACAATGGAAAGAAATTTCCGTGAAATATTAAAACCTTTAGCTTTCCACCCAATAAATTCATTTTTATACTTGTTCAAACTCATTTTGTTTATCTATTACTATTCTGTATTATATTTAACCGAGAAATCTAAATGCTTTTAATAAATTAGTACTCCGTAACATTAGTTATATTTCACTTTCTATGGTAAAACCAAACCCATAGAAATAATGGTTGTGTTTTCCGCTTTCTCTAGCATTTTCCCATATCTAAACATACCTTTAATGTTTTGGTTTTATTTGTACTCCACAGGTGCCATTTTGCCCAATGGTTGGATCTGAAGTGTATTCATCAGAAGTTAAGAAAACTGAGGTTTTGATGGAAAATTTTAGACGAGCTATTGGTCTACGTATAAAAGAAAATAAGGAAGTTTATGAAGGAGAGGCAAGCTTACCTTTTTACAACCTACATTTTGTTCATAGAAGACCAAAATTATCTTGTAATTCCACAAAGCTTATAACCGATTCCATCCCATTCCCAACATCTCATGACTTTTTTCTATTTTAAACAGGTGACCGAACTGTCCCCCGAGGAAACTGAGAGCGTCACTGGTGGATATGGCAAAAGCATTAGTCATGTCATTATCGGGTTGAAAACAGTCAAAGGGACCAAACAATTGAAGCTTGACCCTACTATATATGATGCCCTAATCAAAGAAAAGGTCAGGGTTTCCAACATTCTTATATTTTTTTTAGGACTCTTTTCTTTCTCAAAATATCTTCAACAAAAGTCATCGAATTCTGATAGGCATATACTTAAATTTTTTAATCTTGTGTATGTATATTTATTCCGATCTACTTATTAGTGTCAATAGTTGGCACTTGTAATGTCTAGATAACCCTTTGGTCGTTCCAAACAATGTTATACCGTACTAGCTAGCTTCATGTATAAAATTGCAGGTAGCTGTTGGTGATGTCATTTACATCGAAGCAAACAGTGGAGCAGTTAAAAGAGTGGGGAGAAGTGATTCTTTTGCTACAGAGTTTGATCTTGAGGCTGAAGAATATGTTCCTCTTCCTAAAGGAGAAGTTCACAAGAAGAAGGAGATAGTACAGGTTAGTATGCTATTGTAAGATAAGTAGATTACATTTCTTTCAACTGCAGTAGTACCTCTGTGAAGTGCAGTGCATCGTTGCACCTTTATTTGTATATACTATATAGATAAACATATATAGGTTCTTATCAAAGTTTAACGGTAGCTTTTGTGCCTTGTCAGGATGTTACACTGCATGATCTTGATGCTGCAAATGCACGGCCTCAGGGAGGTCAAGATATATTGTCTTTAATGGGTCAGATGATGAAACCCAGGAAAACCGAAATCACTGATAAGTTGAGACAAGAAATTAACAAAGTAAGCTACAAGAAATAAACAAAGTAAGCTTCGTAAAATTTAAATTTTTTTATGCTTCAAAAATTAACAGTTTTTGTATATATGTGAAACCCGTAAACAATAGGTTGTTAACCGTTATATTGATGAAGGGACAGCAGAGCTTGTTCCTGGTGTGTTGTTTATTGATGAGGTTGTTGTTACATCTTCTTTTTTTTGAGATATCTTCACTGCTAGTTGTCTTTCGTCTCAAATAGAAATAAATAATTTGGACAGGTACATATGCTGGATATGGAGTGCTTTTCTTATCTGAATCGTGCCTTGGAGAGTTCGTTATCTCCGATTGTGATTTTTGCCACTAATAGAGGAATCTGTAACGTTAGGTACGTCTTTTTTTCTTTAACAAAATCTTTCTAAATGAAATGCATTGTTTTCAAAGTAATTACTCCAATGTCTTCCTTTTTGGTGGAAAAACATTATATGGTTGTATCAAGTGAATAGTGATGGCCACCTTGAATCTTAAAAATTATTTTATTGCAGAGGAACTGATATGGCCAGCCCTCATGGTATACCTGTTGACTTATTAGACCGATTGACGATTATTAGAACAGAAACTTATGGTCCAGCAGAGATGATACAGGTTTGAATCCACTGCTTTATACTCCCCCTGCGCCCGAATCTTTGTCTCTTTCTTACGGAGTACCATTTTGTTTGTCCCACTCCCCTTGTCTTTGTCCCATTCCATATACTTCATAGTTGTTCGATTTAAAATCATTCCTATTTGATCGATACTTTAACACATTCAATACCAATCAACACAATGCAAGTTTTCAAGTAATATATGTGTTTCACATCTTCATATAATACTTGTAACATGTATTTCACTGTACTTTGCTTTTCCATGAGGCTTGGCAGATTTTAGCTATCCGTGCTCAAGTCGAGGAACTGGGTATAGATGAAGAAAGTCTGGCTTACCTAGGCGAGATTGGGCAGCAAGCATCTTTAAGGTTTGCTTTTTCTCTTCTTTTTTTATTGGGATAAAGATACACATGGAAAATCCAAATATTTTAAAAGGGTTACTCTTCATTTGTTAGGCATGCTGTTCAGCTTTTATCACCCGCCAGTATTGTTGCTAAAATGAATGGCCGCGACAAGATTTGCAAGGTACTTCAGGACTCACTCCGTTTTACAATAATGTCTTTTTTATATAAAACTAAAAGAGCATTTAATTCCGTTTCCCACTTTTGCCCTTCCTCTTTACACTTGTATTTGCATCACTAGATTCAGTTGTTGCTTTCAAACTTTTCACATTCGTATTGATTCGTGATTTTTTACACATCCATTCAACATTTTTGAACATTTGGGGGAATGTGTGATTGGGTTTCTCACGAGTTAGCTTTGAACAAAATTCTCAGGCGGATCTTGAAGAAGTGAACTCGCTTTATCTGAATGCCAAGTCTTCAGCAAGGCTTCTTCAGGAGCAACAGGACAGATACATTTCATAAAAGCCCCTGTGATTCCCCATTCCCAATCCAATCTGAATCTTCCTATGCCTTCAAATCCTCAATGTGCTTCGTTATGATTTTCTTCTCCTTGCTCCAGATTTTCTGGGTTAGGATTAGTTTTCGAAAGATTCACCGAATTCAGGTTTTGCAAGTCCTGGAGAATTAGTACACGAAAGATTCACCGAATTCGTCTAAGAATCCTGTCATTAGCCTTGTTTGGGAATAACATTATCAAGTAGTTTTAGCGTTTTGGATAATCCTCTTATACTGTATTAATACTGGAAATGCTAAAGCTAAAGTTTTATGATTACCAAACTTTATACTCCCTCCGTTCCTAAAAATTCTTTTTTGCTTTTTTCACTCAGTTTATTTGGAGAAGAGAATATGAATTATTCATTTCTTTCTCTAAAGAGAATAGAAGCTTCTTTTTTGGGACAACTTTAAAAAAAAGTTTAAGGAAACAGAAAGTTCTTTTAACAAGTTTTCTTTATTGGATAATAATCAACAGCAAACATTTTCAAACTAGAGGTCCATTCCGGCTGCCCTTCTGAGTGGTCACCACTGACAACAAGTAAATCCCAAACGCCAAAACCAAAACGATCAGAAACCCAACCAGAACCGCTGCCATTCCACCATCTCCGGCGCCCCGTGCCGCCGCCGGCATTGCCGGAAACTGTGCGGCAGCTTTAGCATAGTTGAGTTGGTCGCCGCCCCCGCTGCCACCCGGATTGAAAAATGTGTACGCTTCTGGCGAGGCGGCGGCAGCAGAAGGGATCTCGGAAGCAAGGCCGTGCGGAGGCCGACCTTCTTGAGCTCTGACAATGGCGTTTGATGAAACCAGCAGAGAAAACATGAATACAACAGAATTGGCCATTTTGATTCTTAAAGTTGTTTGTCCAGAGAGATAGAGAGAGGGGAGATATAAGGCCACAGCGGCGGCGGCGGTTGCTCCGGACTTAAATTTTGAACCACAAAAACCATATGAGTATATAGTGCATGCCACTTCCATTTATTTTGTCACGTAGAGAAGATGATCACATTCACAGTTGCTATTAATGTTTACTCCACTCCATTCCAATTTTAGTAACAATTTTATTTTCTCCCTCCTCTCTGTCGATAACTTTTGTTTATTTATATATTTTCATTGATTATTTGATAAAATAAAATACTTCTAGTCAACTCTTGTTTTGTAGTTTTTTAATATGTAATTTTTATTTTAAATTGAAGTACCAATTTGTAAATAAAATTATTTCACAAATTGCGAGATTTTACTTCGAAATTCCTAATTTGTAATGAAAATTGGAACAAAAGGAGTAAAAGGGTCATACACTAAAAAACACCAATTTTAAGATTATAGATGACAATATAATTGGAACAAACAATTATATTTTGTGTTCGTACAAATTAACTTACGATTATCGTGCATAGTGTCAAAGTTGGTGTTATTCTAACACTTTTTGTATGTGAATATGGCATTGCCCGCGGACCTATAAATAAATCTCATTGGAGCAGCATATATGTTACTCCTATTTGTTCAATCAAAGTTTTAATTACTTATCGTTTTTCGTCTCTAAAAAGTCATCTCGATGATGTTTGGATACTCAAATCTTTTATATAGTTTTTAAAAAGTTGGTATTTACAAGTTAAGACTATGTTCTCATATATTAAAGCTTTTTGTGAATTTTTAAAAAAAAACATGTTCTTGTGGTTGAAGTTCACATCCTTCTAAAAGGGTATCTCGATCCTTAGTTTTTTCAATTGGTGGAAAATTATTGTACCAAATCAAATACTCCAACTAAACTAATATACTCCGACTAAATTAATGATTTAATTGTTTTATTCTTATCAATAATTGTAATTTTCCAACAAACTCTAGCTAACAATTTTGAACTAATGCTTTGGTACCCCTTCTATCTCATATCTTAGTTATTTGTTTTTTTAACAAAAATTAAAGAGAATGTAAAATCTTGTAGTTGAGATTGATGAGGTTCAAAGAATAATACTCCATCCTAATATGAACCATACGGCATGTTTTTATCGATGAATAAAATGTTATTTTGACGCGTATAAAAAATGAAATTTTAAATATAGGATGGAGTATATTTGATCACAACTTAGCAAAGTCAGAGATTTGACACTTGATCCCACTAGGGCCATAGTTAAGAGGAAATATTGCATTATAATTTTTGATATGAATTCCCTCTTGCTTGAAATGATATTTCTTTCTATCTTTTTCACCAAATAAAGGATCACACAGTTATAGTTGCTATCCTTGCCCCCCAACGAGGCTATAAATGATGCAATCCCGAATTAAAATAAGCTGGTTTTAGCCCACCGCAAACAGGGCTAAAAACGGACAATCTCGCCTCAATTACATACACATGAAATCTTTATGAACCATATGATTGTGTTCTTTCAAGGAAAAACAAATTCAAAATTTTGGATTCCTTCTTATTCTTTTCAAGATTGTTCACTTTCCAACTAAAATCCCAGAAAATCTAAACATTTCCAAAAAAACATTCAATAATCATAACTTATTTCAATTTCATCAGCTAATGAAACTACAGTAAGAGAGAACACGGCAATTGTAGAGGGTCATTAGTTCAACGAAGAGTACAGCTTAATGTTAGAAAGTATTTTGATGCCTTAGTTTGAGCCTAAGAAGCCATTGCTGAGTTAGGGGATGAGCTAAAACCCATTATGCAAATGGAGGGTGCAAATGCTCCATTCCTTTATTTGAAGATTGACATTATTAAAATGAAATGAATCAAGACTAAACACATGCAGAGAATGCCTGCAGTTTAATGAAAGTGATTATACTACCATTAAACACTACACATATAAAAGCTCATGCGTATATCCTTTTACATTCATGTCAAGGAAATGGCAATTCACACATTAACCAAGTTGCAGCAGTTTTATGGGGCAATTGCGGAAATGAATCATAGTGACGAAGCAGTATCGGTATTGGAATGCTCTGTATAAACAACCCTTTCAAAAGAAGTTAAAGGTTGCAAGTACCCATTGCACCATATCATATGTAGACAATAGTCCCAAGGACCATTTGGCTCACTACTAATAGTCCCAAGGAATGGGGATATCATAAAACTCATTCCCTAAATTCTAGTAAATAATCAACCTCACTACTAATAGAAACCCTATACATGATATTTTACCAAAGGGGCAGACAATTTGATTAAGAAAAAAGCATTTCCATATGTTATTTAGGATAGATCATGGGATTGGAATCTTGTATGGATTGATCTTAAAGAAAATCATCAACCTATGAAGAAATAGATCAGAAGGCAGCTTTATAACAGAACACTTCAATGATACACAATAAAAATCAAATGCAAGCAGTGAAAATGAAGAGGGCAGATTGATCCAAAATAAGAAATTTGAAGACAGTCTACCCATACATTCATTGTAAATCAAAATTATCCATGGAAGAAGAAACTAAAACTCAAAAAACATGATGCAGATGACAAAAGGAAACATAATTACTAGTATTTCAAGAAGATTTAGAGTTCAAAAACTCCCAATATGGAAAGTGCTCATTTCCTTACCCCCTATTCTGATGCTCAGGCTTCAGGAACCTCCACTTCCCCATCATCAATCTCCTGCTGCAGATCCTTTGGGTCCTTTCCGTCTACAGTGCACCCAACCGATACACAGGTTCCGAGGATCTCCTTAACAGTGCCGCGCAAGTCCTTAGCCATGGAGCGCGGGCGCATGATCTTCGCGATCTCGATCACGTCGTCGAGCGATATGTTTCCGTTGTGCTTGATGTTCTTCGTCTTCTTCCGGTCACGCTCGGGCTCCTTGAGAGCCTTGATGACTAGCGCGGCGGCGGATGGGACGACGGAAACCTTGGCCTGACGATTCTGGACCGTCAATTTGACGGTCACGCGGAGGCCCTTCCAGTCCTTGGCAGTCTCCTTGGCGATGTCCTCGCCGATCTTCTTCGGAGAGAGACCGAGCGGGCCGATCTTCGGGGCGAGTGAACTCGCCGCGCCGACTTCGCCGCCGGTGACTCGGACGAAAACCTCGACGACCTGAGACGGATCGAACTTCGGCGGCATTTTCACAGAACGATGGGTGCAGAGGCGGAGATCGTCGGTAGGGTTTCGTCTGCTTTGTATATAGAGAGGCGAAACCAGGAAATGGTGATTTTTATGAGCTAGGGTTTTTGGTGCGAAATGACCGATTAATCCTTATTGGGCTTTCGATCTGTTTAGGTCATTTATATGTTAGTCCATTATGTGTGGATAGTCTTTTTTTTCTATCATGGGCTTATTATAGAGCCTGTTGCAAGCACTTGCTTCTAGGTCGCATTGACTCCCTGTAGGCCCATTTAAGTTTTAACACAATCGTTTCAGGCCCATGAGGGCCCATGAGCATGGACCATGGTTGGATAGATTACAAAGTTAAGTACTCCATATCTTTTGGTCTTGTCTGAGAATAATATTTTTCATTAGTATTAGCGTCCAATGGTTTTGATTGATTTTAAAAAAAACACTAAACGCTAAAGCTTGTCAATGGATAATTTTTTCAAAAAATTATTTCTCCCGTCCTAACTTAAATTAATTATTTAATATTCATATGATCAAACTTCATTCATTTTCTTTTTCTATTTTCGTTAGTATTTGATAAAATAATATAGTTATGTCACTACTAGTTTAATACTTCCTCTGTCCTAAATCATTTTTCCCAATTACTATTCACGCGGTTAAACTTTAATCACTTTATTTGTCTATTCTCGTTACTTATTTGGTCAAATAATAAAGTCTTGTAAAGAAATTTTGATAGAGCATTTAAAATATAAATTTTATTTTTTAACTTTACACTTACAATCAAATAAATTGAATTAAAAATAAAGTTGATCAAACCTCGTAAATGGAAATATGAAGAACGTTTTAAGACGGGGAGTAGATCTTCTGATTTAGTTTTTAAATATATACGGAGTAATTTTTATTGTAACCGGGAATAGTTCTAAACTCTAATGTTGCTACGAGGTCTTTGTGGGTACTGTTTAACCTAACAAAGGTGTGCATAGGTCCAAAAGTGCTCCAAAGTTTAATGAATTAAATAATACGTTCATACTCCGTAGTATTATAAATTCACATAAATGCATTAAAAATTGGTATTTTAAATGTACATACTTTAAATTCACATCTCAAATTCATTTTTTAAAGAAATAAATGAGTATTTCACATTATTTTAATTAGGGAAAGAGGTTCTTGAGAGGTGTTTTTACTCTCAATAATGGGTATTTTTTATCAGTTATTTAGAAATTAAAAAGAAAGTCTTTTGCTATAATTATGTGGTAGTACCAAGGTTTCAACACATGGCGTGGTTTGCATTAACTAAATAGAAAGCTATTGATCATAGAGAATGAACCAAATAAATGGAGAAGGTAAATGAAGAAAAAGTACATACAAGCGTAGATTTCATATGTTCACACAAATAAAGAAATTCGGTCAACATAGGTGACTGACTCCCCCATACCCTTCGTCGTTTTTCTAATTTTTTTCTTTCCAAATGTTTTAATTTGATTCCTCTCATAATCATATTAAAAGTATAGTGGTCTCCTTTGGCATCAGCGTTACAGGTAAATGTTAGTGTTTTAAAAAGCCTATATGACGGTAGTCTTTAGCATTAGTTTTTCAGAATTAACATATACCGGCCTTTACCGGACCTGTTTGGTAATTAGCGTTAGCGTTTTAGATAAAATTTAAATGGTACATATTATTTTGAAACGCTAACGTTGTCCGTACATAGCTTTTTCAAAACGCTAAAGATATTCCCAAACAAGCCCACCATTAAAATTTTATCTAAAATGCTAACGTCAGTCGAAAATGTTGTTCCCAAACAGGGTATGTATCATTTATCTCTTTATTATTCTACCCGTTCAAAGTGAGAGGGTTGAAAGTAAACATTTACTCATATTTTTTGTTAGAAATTGTTAGCGGATATTTGTAATTGTTAGCGCAAATATGCCATGGAGATTCTACACGAGGCCGGCTTGTTGGGATGCAAACCGGCGGGCACCCCTATGCCGACGGCACACGGCCTGGGCACCTCGGCAGCCCCCCCTCTCCATGATCCAGCCAGATACCATCGCTTAGTTGGGCGTTTGATTTACCTCACTATCACTCGTCCGAATATTTGTCACTCTATTCATGTTTTGTCTCAGTTTATGCAAGCACCCAATCTTGATCATATGAATGCTGCAATGCGCGTTCTGCGTTACATCAAAGGTCACCCGGGTCAGGGTATTTTTCTTAGCGCTACTAGCAATCTTCAAATCACAGCTTTTTGTGACTCCGACTGGGCTAGTTGTCCGCTTTCTCGACGGTCCGTTAGCGGATATTTCATTATGTTGGGCACTTCTCCTGTTTCCTGGAAAACAAAGAAACAGACAACCGTGGCGCGGTCTTCTGCAGAAGCTGAGTATAGAGCCATGGCCAATGCATGCGTTGAGATACGCTGGATGCATGGTATTTTGGGCGCGTTGGGTGTTCCCATCTTATATCCCTCGCGCTTATATTGTGATAATCAGTCAGCTTTGTATATTGCAGCGAATCCAGTATTCCACGAACGAATGAAGCATATTGATGTTGATTGTCATACAGTTCGGGAATCTGTCCAGCGCCATGAGGTGTCTACGCGTTATGTTCCTACACGTTATTAGTTGGCCGATATTTTTACAAAACCATTAGCCAAACCTGCTTTTGATTTTTTACTGTTTAAGTTGGGCATTCGAGATCTTCATGCTCCAACTTGAGGGGGAGTGTTAGCGGATATTTGTAAATAACCGTAGATATCATGTTATTGGGCACGTACATGTTAGCCCGTTTATGTACTTGTATATATATCGGTTTGTGATTAATGAAAAGCAGATCAGTTTCTGCTAAAATTCTACAGAAATACTTGTAAAAGTTCTTTAAGTCTACCTAAATCATACAATCATACCTCATACACAAATTCGAATTTTTTTAAGCCAATGGAAAACATTTTTTAATTTAGGGTCTCTTTAGACTAGGCCAGACGATCACTTAGAGGAGGTAAATTAGATTTGATCGTATATTTGTGGTATAGAGTGGAGCCTGCCCCCGGTACTTGCAGAGGCCCTATACATAGCATAGTTGCCTTCCAGTGCAGCTGTCAAAAATTAAACTCGGATTTTATCCTTTTGGCACTCTTCGCCTTGCCACTCGTCTGGCCAACTGCGCAATGCTCATTGGCGTTTTTTTCTGAATGGCAATCTATATTGTTATTGGTAATTTTACATCCCAAACAATATTTCACCAACACACTCAAAGCTTAAATTTTCCTAACAAATACTCTGTTTTCTTCCATTTGAATTTAGTTGTTCACCTTTTTAAATTTTCATTATTTGAATAAATTTAATTGCATATATTTTTTATATAAAAATTATAGTGATCGAATTTTCCCAAATGTATCAAAATGGGAACATGCTAGGAACTCACCATTATTGTCTTCATTAATGACAATCACATATGAGTTATTTATACACAGATGACTATTACATGTGAACATAGTCGATTATCATGTATGTGTGTGTGTGATAATCATTCGTGGAGTCACCTATAGCGAGTTTTTAGCATTATTCATCTGGAGCATAAAAATGTATAAAATCAATGAATAATAAGTTTATTTGATCGGCTTAAGGCTTGTTTTCTTCACCTCATCTATTTAATTCTGATATGATCATAATAAGATCTTATTTGAAGAGAACAAATTCGATCTTATTTCAAATCTCACACTTATTTTTAAAATAAATTTTTGGAAAAAATGACGAACTAAATCGCAACAAATGTGCACCTACTCTCTCTATGTTGCGTATTACTCCCTTCGTCCCAATTTAAATTTTTGTTTCGCTTTACGATATTTGATTAATGCTATTTTCGTATTATTTAAAAATGGTGTATAATTTAAAAAATAAAATTACATATTCAAAAACTATACTAAAAAATTTATAAAACTAGTAGTGCATGATTATATTATTTTATGAAATAATTAATGAAAATATAAAAAGAAAATGAATAAAATTTGTAAACTAAGTAGACAGAATATATTCCGTAACAAACATTTCTCTGTACGCGCATATATATATAGAGCTAAGAAAGTTTCATACGCATCCCAGATATCGGATATTCGGATTTTATCTTATCAGGACCCGATTTTGATCCGACGACGGCCGGCCTGCCGATTTTGCGATGGCAGCAGCTCCGAAGACATACTTCGCGACGGCGAATTACCGGTTCCTGACGAGTGATCGCGACGCGCCTCTCGGTTCCGACTCCGTTTTCGAACTGGACGAGGCGGACGTGTGGAGCGGCGAGCGATCGGCGTCGCCGGAGCGCCGGAAGGCTGTGCCGAGTCCGCGTGTTGTCTCGAGGAAGCAGTCGAGTAGAGGCGAGCGCGTCGCCAGGACGGCGCCGGCGTCTCTGCCGGTGAACGTCCCCGACTGGTCGAAGATTCTGAAGGAGGAGAACCGGCGGCGTGACGGCGAAGACGGATCGGACGGAGAGGATATGGTTCCGCCTCACGAGTTCCTCGATCGGCAGTTGGCGAGGGCTCGAATCGCCTCCTTCTCGGTGCACGAAGGCCTTGGGCGCACCCTCAAAGGGCGAGATCTGAGTAAGGTTCGAAACGCAATCTGGGAGAAAACCGGCTTCCAAGATTAACCCTAATTCTTACTCCTTTTTCCCCCAAATTTTAACCTGGATATTGCTCCCTTATCCCCTTCTGTTGTCTTTAATTTCTGTAATTTCGGAAACGATTAAAGATTCCAATAACATGGTTTTGGAGAGAGGATTGTGTAAGAAATCACACTTATCACATTATTATTATTGTACCTGAGAATTGTTCAAGAAGAAATTCTTTACAGAGTGAAGAACTTCCACGCTAATTCTCAGTAGTTTTTGTTTTTCATGATATTTTGTACTCCCATTCTTTGAGTATTGTTCCTAAACTTTAACTCCAAATTAAATAAAAATCATAATCTCTCTCCGTCCACCTAAAATCTTTCCATTGCGCGTTACGAGGTATGATTGACTTTATTTTCAATTCAATTTATTTAAATACATGGGTAAACATGAAATGAGTAGTAAAAATAAACCAACAAAGTGAACTAAGTTTGACCCTGTGAATAGCGTTTAGAAAGATCAATGGTGGACCGATGGAGTATTATGTATTGATACAAAATATTTTTATAGATTTATTATAATAAATATTTTTAAAATATTATTCTATCTAGGTCTCGTTTGGTAATAACGTTTTCGATTAGCGTTAGCTTTTTGGATAATATCTCGATGTAGATTAATTCTGAAAACGCTAACGCTAAAGGCCACCGTCGGATAGCTTTTTTCAAAACGCTAACGCTAACCTCTAACACTGATGCAAAACGGGACCCTAGTTAATCTATAATACTCCTTTCGTTTTAAAACTATCTTCTTAATTATTGTTCACTCGATCAAACTTAAATCACTTTCTTTATCTATTTTAGATAGTTATTTGATAAAATAATATAGTCTTGTCACCTCTTGTTTTGTAGAATTTTTGATGTATTTTTTAAATATATAAATTTTATTTTTTAATTTTATACATACAATTAAATAAATTGAATTAAAAATAAAGTCGGTTAAAACTCGTAAACACCAACGGGAAGATGGTTTTAGAACGGAGGGAATATATATTTTCTTTAAAAGAATGGCAGATAAAAATTAACACTAGACAAATACCCACGGTGGTAATACAATTTTTGGTTTGATTTTGACTCTTTTACTGTTTTGAAAGGGTAATGTCTCATGACTATTGGGTGAATTGAGCATCTGTTAAATACTCCGAGTATTTATTTACATTGAATGTTGCTATTTCTTCTGTTTTAAAATAATTTTCTCAGTTCGGTTTAAAATGTTTGATTAAAATCTCTTGATATTATATTATTTTTTCAAATAACTAACAAAAATAGGTTTTAAAAAAATAATTAAAGTTTGACCATCTATATGGTGACTGAAAAGATCATTTTAGGACGGTAGAATATTTGTTTTGAAAGGGTAATGTCATGATACTTCTATAAATCTAACTTAAGTTATCTATATACATCCTTCGTCCCTAAATAAACTTTCCTTTTTGACTTTTTGAAAATTTAAAGAAGGGATATTTTTGTGTCGACTTTCCAAAAATACCCTTGATATGATGTGTAAAAGTAAGATGTGATATGTAGATTATTAGTAAAAAAGTATAATGTAATAGGTAAGGTATGAAAAAGTAAGAGGTAAAGGGGGGTTTTTAAGGGAAAAAGAAATTTATTTGGGACAAAGAAAAAATGAAAGGGAAAGTTTATTTAGGAATGGAGGGGGTATTATTTAAAGAGTCAAACTTTAGTTACTTTCATTACTCACACTTATTACGATAAAATAATATAATCATGTCACATATAATTTTATACTCCCTCCGTCCCATTGTTTTTGTCAACTTTCATTTTAACACATCATCCAATGCACATCTTTAATCCATTTTATCTTGTAATTTGTATATTAAAAAATTATAGAAATTATATATTAATAATCTATATGTTAAGACAAATCAAACAAGATCACATATGACTATATTTAGGCTTACACATTGAGAGAATTTGATGAGTCAAAGTGCTTAGATGAACAGTTCCAAAAGTCAAAAGTGGACAAAGAGAGTGGGACGGAGGTAGTAGAACTTTAGATGTTGCTTTAAAATATCGATAAGTTTTATCAGTCATTCCATACTATTTTTCATATCAAATGAATTGAAAATGATTATAGTCAAGTATTATAAACCAAAAGAAGATCTTGTTTATCTCATGTTACTTGTACATGTGTATATAATTGATATAACTGTTATGTGAATGATATCATATGATGTTACAGTCTAGTGAGATCGTTTATAGGTGCAACCAAAACGTTAGATATTTATAACTTAGCTTCAATGTTGAGCGTGTAGTGTTTGTTCTTTAGCTACCAACAGATGATGAACTTGGAGCCAATCCTGGAGGGCGATGATTATGAGGAGATGTGTGTGGCCATCTTTGATGATTTTGAGTTATTATACATTATTTAATGACTTATTACTTTTACAAGCTTGATTCCCAAGTTATGTTTTAGTAATGACTCAAGCATCCGCAAATGTTTTGATCATTACTCTGATGGATGTTAAATAATATTTTGAAGTAATTATTGGAATTGTTTTGAAAAGAAAAAAATTAAGTTGTGTTTGGGTACCAATTTAGTAGCAACCCAGCTCGCTAATCTTTGTATTCGGGCTACGTGGGTTATGGTGTTACAATGCATTATCGTAAATTGCTTGAAATTTTTAAATAATGGCTAAAAAATATCAATAACATTATCTCTCTCTTTTGTCTATTCTATTTAATGATCATAAGAACAACTATTTTCATCTAAAAAACAAATGTAGTAATACTCTATCAAATTTTAAAAATTCAATCTTGAAGTGAGGAGGATCACAAATAATACCAACTTAATAAATATAAGGAATATACAAATAATAAGCATCCCATTTATCCTTCATAAAAATCACATAGGGGTACAAGTGTACAACTGTGAATGAGATAAACTTTCACGAAAATATGTTGCAATTTTGTTACACTCGGAAAAAATTTGTTTGTCGTAGGTTTGTAAACATGCAAAAAAGTAAGAGTTGCATTGTTAAAAGCTTCTATTACGACATTCAACTTTTCAACAATAATAAATTCACTCAAATCAATGATATAATAAAGTTCAAACCTGAGAAATTAAGGAAGTTCCTCTTTGTAGTCCATAATCTATGAAATCAACTTATATGTACTATTTCATCTAGTCGTAATGTCTTTAGCAAATGTTATTGATTTTCTATTCATAGATTTACGGTAAGCCTTACATGTCTTCGAATGAATATGACTAGCCTAACTCTTTCTTAATCCACCCTTAATATTGGTCAAACCCCCCTCCATAGCTTCTAATCCATGTTGAACACACAAATTTAAAATACGACGGATACACCTTTGGTGTAGAAATCTACCTATGGCGCTACTAGAGAGGCAAATTTCTCTAAGTCTAGAATGACTGTAGTATTATTACTAGCATTATCAAAAAACCAAATGCAAACACTTTATCAAGTAAATTATAATCTTGAAGAATACGCTCTAGCAAAAGAAAAATATTATTACATGTGTGAGATTCATTGAAATCACAAAATGCAAGAACACGCTTAAGCATAATCCAGTTACTATCTATCCAATGACATGTAATACCCATGTAAGACAAATTATTATATGTTTTACTCCAAATATCAGAATAAATAGTTATACGAGAATTAAAATTGAAAAAAGTTGTCAAATTATTTTTGCAACTTTATATTGTGTAATAATTTCTCGATTATAATTGTAAGATTAGTATAAATTAGATAAAATTAAATCTTTTTATATCAGATCTGATCTAATCAAATGAGATTTAATCATGTTCATCACATTAGATCTTTAAAAAGGTGGGCGCCACTCATGAGAATTGAGGATGAAGTAGGGAATAAGAGAGACAAATACATACATACATACATACATACATACATACATACATACATACATACATACATACATACATACATACATATATATATATCCATGTATGTATGTATATTGTAAAAGGCCACTTTTTAATTCTATAATTGTATTAAAGTCCATAAAATGAACATAAACCTTAGGTTTACGAAATAATTTGCCTTTGTTGTGTAAATGTAAATGCAAGATTAATGACTTACATTGACACACAATGTCAATATAAAATTTTACAACACTATCATTTTTGTGCCAATATAAGTCCTTAAAATGTATGTATAAATCTTTAATCTTTAGGGAAGTGGTAATACTAATAATGCCCACCGGCGTTATGTTAATTTTGACGCATGGGGCTTCAAACTCATTTCCAATAAATTGGTAAGGTAAGTTAAAGTTGATATGACAGAGAAAAAAAGTTTAAAACCTCAGAACTTCAAGACCATTTCTAGTGCTCTTAGAATACATCTAGATTACTCGATGGTCCGTTACACCTACGCCGGATGTAAAAGGGAGTCAAACAAGAAAAAGAGTGCCCATTTCTCACTTTTATACTCACTTTTGTATCCATGGAGTGTTAAATAAAGGAGATATGCTATGGAAACATCAAGTTTGTACTACAACTTACTACATCAAATATATTATAATTATTGTGTGTGTGATTTATAAACCCATCTTAATTATTTGTGTCTCTAATATACTTGGGAGGTAGAATTGAAAAAAGTGTAGGCATAAGGTGTTTCGAGGGTATACAAAGTGGTCAATCACATAGGAACCATAAATTTTAGGGTCTCATATTTTTAAATTTGACACTAACTTTATGGTGTAAGTACTTTGAAAAAATAAATAAGGCCCAAAACATGAATTTTACACCGGGCCAATTATACTTTTTCATATGTCCGGACCGGCCTTGGGTGGGGGTGAGTATTAGGGTCGGGGCAGTGTGAGGAGGTTTAACGGGGATTAGGGAGGTAAAATCGTCAATTTTAAGATCGGGGCATCAGAGGACTCCAGAGTAGGGGTAGACACGGTACCGGTACGGTACCGTGACCGGCAACGGTACCGGTACGGTACCGTGACCGGCAACGGTACCGCCGGTACCCACCACCATCACGGCCGGCCGGGGCGTTACACCGGTCCCAAGAACTGGTACCGGTACCGCCCTTCTCGGTACTGGTTCCGGTGCCCAATTTTTAGTACCGGCACCGATTCTGGTACCAGTTTTAATTATTTTTTTTTGCTTTAATTTCCCAACGTTCACCTGCTAAAAAAAGATCAAGTCAGTGGGGGGAACCTCAACGGCTATTTAGCCGTTTGAGGTGGGGTAGGGGGGAGGGGGGGTAGGGGGGAGCTACTATAAATTCTACCATTTTTTTCCAAAAAAATCACACTCAATTCATTTCTCAATCTATCAATCTCTCAATCTTATTATTTTTTCTAAATATTTATACAATTTATATTCATAAAATAATATAAATATATATTAATATATTACATAATAACCTATAAATACATTCATTATTCATATTATCAATTATCATATATTTTTAGTTTATTACTAATATTATAATTTCGAAATTTTCGAAATTTAATATATAATTAATTTTTTAAATATATTCTTTAAATAATTTAAATATATAATTAATTTTTTAAATATATTATATTTTTTAGATAATTTATAATTTTTGAAATTTTTGAAATTTTAATATATAAAATCTAGAAAATTTTTTAAATTTTCGAAATTTAATATATTATTTTTTGAATATCAAAAAATATATATATTAAAATGTCGAGAGAGCCTGGTAGAAGGTCCGTGGATATGGGCGCCATGAATCGAAGTTCGAGGAAAGGCAAAGCTAAAGCCACCTTCGACGGTTCAACCTCACGCGGTTCTTGAGAAAGACACTCCGTCTTTTCCTTTCCTACTATCCCCGATCAATTCATGAGCGACGTTTTGACGGATCAAGAATTCGACCAGTATATTTTAGGTAGAGGCGACACGAATCTCGAAACTCTTGAAAGTTTATTCGAGAAGATTAATGAAGCAGGAATGGACGGGGACGAGGAGCCTACACCGCACAGCAACGACGTCGACCAGGAGGCAGGTGAGCCCGAGACCTCTCAAGGTCCGGACAAAGGTAAAAAAAATTAAAATCAGATTTATTTGTTTATCATTTTGAAAAATATACAAAAGATGGCATAGTTTATCGAACTTGTAATTATTGTGCCACCGTCATTAAAATGGGAGTTTCCGACGGTTATGGTAGTCAGGAAAAACACCTAAGGTCGAGGCATCTCCTGGAGTACGCCAAATACGCGGCGAAAAAGAACGAACGACAAGAAGTGCAAACCCAAATTTCTCGGTTTACTAACACGGATAAGGGCGGCCTTTTTGCTTATAGCGACGAGCAAAATAAGCAAAAAATGGCCGAAATGATTTGTGAAGAAAATTTGTCATGCATGTTTTCTGAAAAACTTGGATTTATTGATTATTTTCAACAAGCATTAAACCCTCAAGCCAGAGGTTTTTCAAGAAAAACAATTAAACGAGAAATTATTCGACAGTATAAACTTGAAAAAACAAATTTGGCAAATTGTTTTCTCAAATTTGGCATTAAACATTCAACGCTTGTTGTTATGCTATATGGAGAGCTAGAAACCAGATTATCCATGGGAAAGAACCCATCTCGGCTAATGAGTGCATTGAATACCTTAAATTCCAAGTTTATACTTTTGTAATTCCTAAATCTAAGTAGCAATAGGGAGGGCGAAGGAATGATTGTTTAGCCGAGAGCTAAGTTTGTATTGATTCCTATGGAATAAAAATTTGCATTTCGTTCAAAAACTCTTACTTTTTCGCATGTTTACCAACCAACTACAAATACATTTTTTAAAGAGTGCGTTACAATCGCAACATTTTTCGTGAAAGTTTGGCTGATGAAGATTTGTACCCTTATATCTCTCCTATGAAAGATAAATGATGTGCTTATTATTTGTGATCCACGCTTTAAGATTGAAAATTATAAAATTCTAATTGACTACTACTACAGTTGTTTTTTAGATGAAAATAGTTATTACTACAGCCATTTAATAGAATGTGAAAAAGAAATAGATAATGCTATAACTCTTTTTGAGGCTTTGTTTAAGGAATATCAAGGGTTATACAGTAATGTACCAGAAAAAACAGCACCTCCTCCGCCCCCCAAATCAAAAAAAGGTTTTAAAGGAATTGTCGGTGGGCTTCTTGCAAAGAAAGGGAAGCGTGCTCAGCCTTTGACGAGTTCAAGTGGTACAAGAGTAAGCTCGCACAACGAACTTGCTATGTACCAAGGGGTGCCATGCGATTACGACGACGACGTGGAGTTTGACGTCCTCGGATGGTGGAAGCGGAATGAACGCATGTTCCCATGTCTCGGAATGCTAGCAAGACAAGTGTTGTCCGTCTCGGTATCAACCGTAGCAGTGGAATGAGAATTCAGTGCTAGCGGCAACATTCTAACCGACTACCAAAGTTGTCTTAACGCTGAATCTCTTGAAACACTTGTTTGCAACCAAGATTGGCTTTTGATATGATGTCGAGCTCAAGAGTCAGTGTACGAATTCAATTCGGAGCATTATATGAATGCAACCACAGATGGAAGTCCGAGTTCTGAGGAATAAGTTATAAAATTTTTATATGTTAATGTAAATATGTAATTAGTTTTTTTTAGGTGAACGATATATAAGCTCCTTCGAGGGTTTCTTTACGGTTCTTTACCTCGTCGCTTTTTTTGAACCGTCAGGATATTAAATGTAGTTGTTCTTCAGTTCGTGTATTACTCATTTTACAATATTTAAATAACAACTACATTTTAAGATTTTTTATTTTATTCTTTCCTTTAACAATTGCAAATTTATAATTTTATACTTTAAAAATTTTAAAAAAAAGCAAAAAGAAATATATTGGGTTGGCCAAAATCAGCCGGTCCGGTACTGGAACCGCCAGTCCGGGTACCGGAACCGGTACCGCCCGGTCCGGTCATGGTACCGGTACCAAGGGGTGACGGTACCGGAACCGGAACCGTACCGTGTCCACCCCTACTCCAGAGTCAATTTATAGCATGCGATTCCAATATCATGGGAATCCCACCGATCAATTTAGAGCACAAACTTTATGTACCCCCGACTCTTTTCTAAATGAAGACTGTGTTGGCACTCAAAACCCCTCAACTTTTTCCCAATAGCAAACCAGACCCCTGAAAACCGTAAAGTTACAAAAAAAGAGCTTTCCTTTTTATTCTTTCCAAGCTACTCCCAGAGTGCTCCGTACTCCCTCCGGCACTGCTTCACAACTCGCAACCCATAAAGAAGGCGGAGTATAATACTACAAATTGGGCTACAGATCCCTTCTTCTCCCTCCTCCATCTCCGTCAGAAAACCGAAAATTCAGGGTTTCGAGGTGCAGAAATGTATAAGAACCAGTTACAGGAGCTGGCGCAGAGGAGCTGCTTCACTCTGCCGTCGTACACCTGCATTCGGGAAGGTCCCGACCATGCCCCGCGCTTCAAGGCCGTCGTTAACTTCAACGGCGAGTCCTTCGAAAGCCCCCACCACTTCTCCACCCTCCGCCTCGCCGAGCACGCCGCCGCCGAGGTGGCTCTCAACTCCCTCTCCCACGGCGGCCCCTCTCAGTCCCTCGCCGCTCGAATCCTCGTGAGTTCTCTCTTACCCTTCTTCCCTCCAGCTTTCATTCGTTGCGTGTTTGCACATTGATGTGAAAAAAGACTCGTTTTTTTTTGTTCTGAATCGGGGGATTGGCACCGCTTTCTTGATTTCCCGGCGAGATTGACGGTGCCATGGGCTGGCAGCGCCGCCTCACACTCTTACAGTTATTCCCTTCCCTTTAAACTCCCGGTTAAAAGCTTTGATTCGTTGCGTTTTTTGCACATTGATGGGAAAAAGACTCAATTTTTTTTTTAAAAAAAGAATCGAGGGTGCGCTCTGATTTCTTGATTTTCCGGCGGAATCGACGGTGGGGCGCCGCCTCTTACCGTTATCCAATTCCCTTTAACCTAAGTTTTAACTCCTGGTCGATGTCTGAGTCAATCTTGAAACTGGTGCAATGTGACCGGTTTCTTGATTTCCCGGCGAGATTGGCGTTGCTAACGTGCGCCGCTAACAGTTATCTACCAGTCCGTCTTCTGCCTCATGTCAGAAACCGGGGAATCAATGACCGGCCGGCCCCGAGGCTGGTGTGGTGGGATTTAATGGTGTGGGAAATGACCGGAATGTCCTTGCCCTAAGATGATGGATATGGTTCAAAAATGCACTAGAAAGTAGAATTTTTTTTGAAAAGTCCTCTGTCTAAATTGGGAAAGTGAGAAAAAGAAAACTGAGGAGGTCCATAACTGCTGCTTCAGTTTGCTACTGGTAAAGGGACCAGACCATATTTATTAAGAACCATCACTATGTCATACAGTATATTGACCCTTGCTTAACAGCTGTTCTTTGGTCATCTTGTACTGTCTTGTTGTAAAGTCATTTAATTAGGGGTACTCTGGTAATATCCCCTTTCAATACTACCCTGGTATGGTAAATATCATTGGATTTCAAACTACACCCTAAAGTCCCATGAACAGCCATCTAATTAGACTTAGATTATGCAAAGGTTTTACAATCTGGAAATTAACAAAACAAAGCATCAATTAGGGCACTCAGTCTTAATCTGAAATGTACATATGGAACAACATTTCAGAAGTTAAGTTATGTATGGACATAGCATTGTATTTATGGAAATTTTTGTCTAAGTGATGCAAATGATGTATGTTGCACTGATTCTTCAAACGCTTGGCGTACCCGAAACGCCCCCGTTTGGTTACTTGGGGATGTCCTGACACCCAAACTCTATGTATGATTTGGGGAAAAAAAATGGTTGGGTATTTATGTTGATTGGATGTTACAAATGCAGGATGAAACTGGAGTGTATAAAAACCTGTTGCAGGCAATCTCACAAAGGGTTGGGTCTCCTTTGCCCCAATACGCAACGTTCAGGTCGGGGGTCGGACACCATCCGGTGTTTACCGGAACAGTGGAACTCGCAGGAATCACTTTCACCGGAGAGCCCGCGAAAACCAAGAAACAGGCCGAGAAGAATGCCGCCTTGGCGGCATGGTCATCTCTGAAACAATGTGAGTCCCCCCACCCCCCTCCACCCTATAAAACAGATTAGTCTTTTTAAAACGATAAAGCTAAACATCAAGCTAAACATCTCTGAAACCTAGGCTCTAATATAGAGATCTAAAGAGTTTTTTCCCTCTCCCAAAAACAGTGGCAAAACAAGATGCAAATTCAACATCAGAGGCGGAGAACACGGAGGAGCAGGAGCAGATAAGGATTGCAAGGGCATTGCAGAACTATTGTTTAAAGGAGAAGATAGAAATGTCCAATGCCGGGGCCCGTCCCGTGCCCTTCCGGAAGAACTTCCCGACCCCGTGGGGCCCACGGTGTCCCCCGTCGTCGTCCACTTCCAAAATCCTTCCTTTAATCTCCCAGAAAGCCGCTCGTCCCCAATACAGATCTCCTAGCGTTCATCCCAGACCCCATTGCAGTGCCATTGCTCCTCCCGTCACCATAAGAACATCAATTCCGGTTTTCTCGGCGCCCCCGCGGGCCCCACCTGTTCGGGTCGCGCCACCTGTCTGCATCAGGCAAGCCGTTCCAGTTTTCGCTGCTCCGCAGGCCCCGAAAGAAAATGTGGTCGTTTCATCGCCCGAGAACAAGGAGGAAACTACAAAGACAACCGAAACCATGGAGGTCGACGAATCGATAGCTATGAAGTGTTTGGAACGGCTTCAAATATGATCTTCATCATCTGGTTTTTTTTTGTAAGGACTTGTTTGTCCTGCCTTATTTTCATGTATGTTGGTGGCTAAGTACAAGTGATTCTCTGCTGTTAAAAAAAAGCAGGTCACTTTTTAGTTTCATATGCTAGCTACTTGCAAGTTTTTTGTTTTGTTTTGGTATGATGAGGTTATGTTTCATCAAGGATATAAATATATATGTGACATTAAACTAGAGTTTCATGTTGAGAAATGTTGCTGTCTCTAGGTTGTAAATAATTTGTTGTTTTATAACATTCATTCATCAAAATTGATTTTTAAATAAAGTTGGAAAATATGTGAATAGACGAGATCATTTTATGAATTGCATATGAAACTCTTTTAGATAAAAATATGAGTAAATTTTATAAATGGTTCCTAACTATTAGTGGTTTTTCATTTTAGTCCTCAATTATAAGAAATTACATAAATTGTTTTCCATCTTGGAAAACTATTCCATAAATAACTATATGACAAAATATTTTTCCATAAATAGTCTTGAAAGACCAATTATGAAATAGTTTTTAAAAAGTGAGGACCAATGTATATAATTTAAATTGTGTACACCTTTTAAATTTTGGAAAGATACAACTAATGACAATTAATATTTTTTTAATTCAGTCATTAATTACTCTCAATTTATGTTGCATGTCATTACAATAAAACAAAATTTAATCTAAACAAGTTAAATCTAATGAAATCATTTTTATTTTAATTTTTTTACGGCAAAAAAAATAAACTTAACACTAAATCAGCAAGGAATACAGAAAGTCCGGAGAGGACGAGATCGCTTCGCCATGATAGGACTCAAACCTCCTCACAAACGTATGAGCAATAACATTATTACATCGTTAATCGACAATCATCAATCAAAGCACCAAAATAAGATGTCGATGAAAAGTTCACATTTTGAACACTAAGGGTGGAACCCAATTTAGCCTCGAAAGAATAGATTTAGGAAAGTACCTGGCTTTAAACACTCGGGAAACCATTGACTTTGGTTTAGTAAGAAATCTCCAATTCTGTTTACCAAGCACTGCAGCATTGAAAACACGAATTTGTCGAAAGCCCAAACACCCAAATTTCTTAGGGGTAGAGAGACGCGTCCATATCATCCAATGAATTTCGGAAGAGTTATGACCCTTACCCTTACCCTGCCACCAAACTGAGTTCATCAATTTCTCAATATTTTGACAAAGGGATTTCAGAAGGAGGAACACACTCATGGCATACTGTGGCATAGTAGCCCTCATAAACAAAAGACTATCATAAGCAAATAACAAGTGGGAGATAGAAGGTGCACCTCTCGGCACCCGAATCCCATGCAGCAGACCTCGTCGCTCCATGTCCTGCAAAAGCATATAAAGTCCTTTTGCACATAAAATAAACAAATAAGGGCTTAAAGGATCTCCATGTCCAAGTCCCATTGATGGAATGATTGGATCAAAAGAGATCCATTCAAGAGAACTTGGTATCAGACAGAAGAGACAAATTTTGATTAATCGAATCCACCTCTCATCAAAACTAAGACGGTGTTAAATATGTTATGTATATATTTAATATTAATTATGTGATCATTGCAATTATGGTAGTTTACATGTATAGGTTTCCTTACGTAATTAGGAATCCTTTGTAACTATATATACGAGGCTTCTCCCTCATTATTCCTCAATATAGAAAATTATAATTCTTCATGGTATCGGAGCCTCTCGTTGCTCTCCGCCTTTCGTTCGACCTAGCGCAGGCAAAACCCTAGCCGCGCCATCGCCGTCTCTCTCTCTCTCTCGACCGTGCAGCAGCCGCCGCCGTCTCTCCCTCCTCCATCGGCAGTGCCCAGCGGCTGTCTCCCTCCGGCGGTCTCTCTCTTCGGCGATCTCCCTCCTCACGGTGAGCAACTCCCCCATCGGTCGCAATGTCTGAGAAGCCTTCCGTCACCGACTCAACGTCATCTTCTCCAACCCCGCACTTGGCGTTCACGACGATCTCGAACGTGAAGCTCCATGTGCCGATTCTCCTAAGCTTCTCCGAGCCCAATTACAAAAAGTGGAGCCGGCTCTTCCTCCTTCTCATTCGCAGGTTCTCTCTCGGTGATTTTCTCACCGGAAAATCGTCCCCCTCCAGCGCCGATGACTCGGAATGGTTCCAACTTGACGCCCTCATACAAGGTTGGATCCTCTCCACGGTCAATGATGAAATTTGTGATCTTGTTCTCTCTACAACCAACTCCGCATCCGAGCTTTGGAAAGCCATCTATAACATCTTCCACGACAACAAGCCGGCCCGGGCGATGCAACTTGAGCACCAATTCCACACCACCACGAAGGGTTCTCTCTCCATTGCCGCTTATTGTCAAACCCTCCGGAATCTTCCGAACAACAATTGGTTCTTCAAGTCTTGCGTGGTCTCCCGGATGATCTTCGAGGACAAACGTCGTTCCTTCAATACCAAAC